GCAGATGGAAAGTGACAAGAAGCTGAAGAGAAGGCAAGGGTTGAAAAACTTGGGCCTGAGAACAATGCCTGAAGAGAGCCAAACAGATCCACATGTTCTTTGGGTGAATCCCTTCTAGATCCTCTGGGGTTAAATACCTGGTCCCAAGGTCCCAGATTTGTATGAGATGCTTGTTGACCTGCGGATCCTGGGGGAGGTGGCAGGTTTAACCGGGCCAACCATAAGCACTAAAATTGCAAAATTTCAGGCCAGTTGTTCCTCATTAAGACCCTTATTTAAAATTGTTGTTTTTGAACCATGTTTGCATCCACAAAGGGGGGTCCCCTTGAAGTCCACCGATGTAGCCTGTTTTGCATGGTTTGCGGGTCTCCGAGCTTGCTCCGTGTTTTGGTTCCCCGGGGTAAATACCTGGGCCCAAGGTTCATGCATGTTTTAGTGAAAACATCATAATCATTCATGCCATCTGGAAAAACCGACACCATCAGACACCAGGTGTGTCTGACAGTACTGTGTTTGATCATCATTTTCCCGTTACAGAAACATGTGCGTGTATATCCTATATTTAAATAAATCATATGCGAACGCATATCTATATAGTGCATTATAGTGCAACATCCACAGTGGTCATATGCAGTCATCATTTTTCTTCACCGTTGTTCAAGGACAGGAGTTAAAAACCTATGATGCAACATTCCCAGTGTTTTTGAAGTTTGTTTTGTCACAGGGGTGAAAAGCTGGTGGCCAAACATCTTTAAAGATTTCTCTGTTCACGAGGCCCGGTGTCTGAAAACCTAGGGCCCTTGATTTCGACATCAAACCAGACTACCATCATTGCAGGTGGTGAATTGCTGAGTCTAAGGTTTTGCCCATATGTTTCAGCCACCACTCCGGTGGTAAAAAAAGGGTGGCACCAGCCTCAGGTTTTAGGACAGGGGCACCAGACCCCTATTACAAGATATGTCTAAAAACCCGTTTGATTTGTTCCCATTACACAAACATGTGTATATGCATATTCTGTGTATATGTATGCACTGTATATATATATATATATACATACATATCGATATAGAATGATATAGATGCATTTATGAATACATATCTATAATGCAACATCTACAGTGGTCACATGCAGTATCATGCAGTCATCCACAGGGGCTAAAAACCTATGATGCAACATTCCCAGTGTTTTTCAAGTTTGTTGTGTCACAGGGCTGAAAACCTGGTGGCCCAACATTTTCAAAGATTTCTCTGTTAACAAGGCCCGGTGTCTGAAAACCTAGGGGCTGAGATTTTGATAAAAAATCACACTACCATCATTGCACGGGCTGAATTTCTGAACCCAAGGTTTTGCCCATATTTTCAGAAACCACTCCGGTGGTAAAAAGGGCGGCACCAGCCCCAGGTTCTCAGCCAGGGACGCCCAACCCCAGGGACGCCCAACCCCAAGGTTCTCTGTCTGTCTCTGTCCGTGTGTGTGTGTGTCTGTGTCTGTGTCTGTGTGTGTGTGGGTCTGTCTGGCTGTCTGTCTACCTATCTCTCTATCTCTCTCTATCCCTATTTTCATCTCCATCTCCATCCCCATGTCCAGCTGCATCTCGAAGCCCATCCCCATCTCGATCTCTATCCATCCGTCCATCCATCTATCAAGCTGAAAGGAAGGAAGCAATTGTGCGAGGCTTCCTCAACAAGTGAAAAGGCGCAGCTCCAAAACGAAGAAATTCTGCGAGACTTCCTGAAAAATCCGAAGTGGACAACATCAAAAATGCGGCAATTTTGTCCATTTCATGTGTCTAAAGTATGGCGTCTGCCACGAAAAAGTGCGGCCAGTCACGCAAAATCATCTTAGCAAACCTGACCTCCGAATGTCAGGTAGAGATGTCTCTTGTACTGCGTCTGTCAAGCGAAATTATCGAAATTTATCTTTGCAGATCCTCTTCAAACGTCCCGCACCTGCCATATTTTTCGAAACTGCCGCAAAAACCTTAGGTTTAGCTCACTTTTTGCGAGGTGCAAAATCCATTGCACCTGCTAAGAAAAGTGACGCTTGAACGTCCAAAAGTGGTTCGAACATGTAGTGCTTTGAACATGTTGGCCTGCGCCTACTTTTCGATCCTCCGGAGCAACAACATTGGAAAAGCACAGCGTTTTGCGACTTTTCTACCTCTTCGCGCGCTTTAATCTTCTTTCTACTGACTTGCTCTTCTCTGACTCTTCCCACACCTGACCTGTTGCTGCATCTGTCCATAAGTCGGAAGTTTGACTATCTGAAGTTTCTTAGGTGATAATCCCCATTATATTATTGGCGGGTAAAACACCCCCACGGTTCCCGCGTGTGGAATTGTGATTGGACGTGGTTGGGTTGTCAATCAACGCGTGTTCGATCCACCCCTTCATTTCCCAGGGGAATTTTCTTGATTTTCAGGTTCATTGTATCATCAGGATTCTGACCATGTTTGTTAGTTTTGCTTTGGGCTGCCAACTACTCATCAGCCAACCGTCACTTCTCAATGATATACTCATGTTTTACATGCGTGCTTTTGTAAACACCTAAAAAATCCCGGCAAGAGACCCCAAACAGTGTTGGGGAGTGGGAGGATAATGTATGATACTGTTGGTGTTGTTGATGATGATGGCGATGATGATGATGATGATGACGATGACGATGGTGTTGCGGACAATGATGTTGAGCATGTTGATGTTCAGGATGATGTGGTGCAGGATGATGATAAGGATAATGAGGACGATATCTTTGCGGACGATAATGTTGAGGATGATAATGTTGAGGAGGCTGAGGATGAGGATCATAATGCGGAAGATGAAGTGGAGATTGAAAAGGTGGAGGATGATGATGTTGAGAAGGAGGAGGATGACGATGCTGAGGATGATGATGTTGAGGAGGATGATGAAAAGGATGATAATGTTGATGTTGCGGAAGATGAGGTGGAGGTTGATGATGAGGATTATGAGGTCAAGGGGGAGGAAGATGATGATGATGAGAATGATGATGTGGAGAAGGAGGAAGATGATGATGTTAAGGAAGATGATGTTGAGAAGGAGGACCGACCCCAAGACCAGGGACCACACTTTGTGCGAGCCTGCGCAGTCGAAATGCACTTGGGCATTGCACAAGAAGCACTTTGGGCGAGAATTTACAGGTAAAATGCCGCAGACCAAGACTGGGGACCACACTTTGTGCGAGCCTGCGCAGTCCGAAATGCACTTGGACATTTCACAAGAGCCACTTTGTGCGAGAATTTACAGGTAAAATGCCGGAGGCCAAAACCGCGGCGCAGACTTTGTGCGAGCCTGTGCAAGCGAAATGCATTTCAACATTGTACAAGAGCCATTTGCTGCAGGAATTTGCAGGTAAAGTGCCGCAGACCAGCTGGAGCACCCTGATCAAGCACCGGCTTTTAAGTTACTGTAAGAACCCCTTAGTGTGGACACACTGTTTGGGGAAAAGATGGTGAAATCCTGCAAGTAATCATCAACCAACCAGAGTTCAGCAGTCACTGCCCACTTGGGTTGATTCTTTTTCCCCTCCTGTCATAGTTGACACTGAACCCGACGATTCGCTGCCCGCCGTAGCTGGCGGCATTCTTCGGGATCACCTGAGGTCACCAGTTGTCTTCCGTTGATGAACATTGGGCGTTTCTCTGTCAGAAAACTCATGGGTTCGATGAATTTCCATTCGATCGGCAGCATGTGTGTTGATGTGTTTTGCTTTTAAGAAAAATGAATATTTAACCAACCAGAGAAAGGATTTAGCCAACAACAACAACAAACGAACATTGGATTTTTTTGAAAGGCAAGAAGCTTTTTAGCAAAAGCGAAGGATTCCACAAATGAAAAGTCGAGCTCGAACGGAACCAAGAAGCATGGCAGAATGGGGATTGGACCAACAAAACGCCAACGAAGATATGTCACAGCACTGGTTTGATGTAAAGGACCACTTGTAGGGTACACCGAAAGGCTATGATTTCGAACAATCCAACTGTCGAGTTTTTCTTGAACATTCCGTCTCTAACGAAATCTGGGACAAATGCCCTTGAGCTACCAGGACTTCTGCAATTTAGCAAGGAAAAATTGAGATGCAACAAACGGTCGGACGGCCTGTTCACGCGCAAGTTACATGGAACGTTAACATCCCCCCCACCCCAGCGTGGCGTAGCATCAACAACGTGAGCAAGTTACATAGAACGTTAACATCCCCCCCCACCCCACCCCACCCCACCCCAATGTGCAGCGTAGCATCAGCAACATGATGAAGGATCAAGTTCACATGAGCGTGATTGCCCCACCCCACCCCACCCACCCCAATGTGCAGCGTAGCATGAGCAACGTCATGAAGCCTCAAAACACTGTAAAAACCAAGGGAAAACGCAGATGGTGCAAAAAAACAAGAGCGCGAAAGCGCGAAAAACACTGTAAAAACCAGTGCAAATGGACAAAGGCAGAAAACATCACTCGAAGAAACAGTTGTTCCTGCCCGCCCCCGCCCCCCCCCCCAGGGCAGCATTGTCGAGAAGCAGAAAACACTGTAAAAAACAGTACAAAATGCACAATCAGCAGTGTGTCTGCGCGTGAACACCCCGTCGGAGGGAACAACCACAAGTACAGGCCCAGACACAAGTTCAACAAGTTCATCAATAAATTTGAAGTTGAACATAGTTGAACCAGCAAAAATGGTAATCTGCGAAAGACATGACAGGTTGCCTCATAGGTTGAGTTTCATGTTTGAGACGTTGCTGCACGACCGCAGCGCTTGAGCCACGGCAGTGAAAACGGGCCCACGTGTTCACCTGGTGACTTAGGGAGTCACTCATTCCTTTTTGCTGCCATACTGTTTGGCGACCCAACATCCATACTACTTCCTTGACTTTAACAACAACATCCCTTGGGGGATAGGCTGGATTGGTGGTTGGATTGGTGAACCTCCCTGCTCCCGCATTGGTAGCGGAGCAGGTGAGGGGATCCAGGGGCGACACAACGGCTGAGAGGAGGACTATCAGCATCAGCAACACCTACCCGAGCTCTGCGAGATCTACAAGGACACCTGCGGTTGGTTCTACACCTACTTCAGGGACAAGGCCAACATCTGGGGGATCGGTTCGATCCAGAGGAGGTGAGCGAGCACCTGCTGCTGCTCGACGGGCTTTCAGGGAACGCTCCAGGTCTAGGTCTCCTGCAAGAGATCTGAGACAGGCCTTTAGCCCTCCAGGTTTTCCTTCGGTGTTGATCGATTTGAGACCTGAGAGGCCCTGCCCGACCTTCTTCGAGCCAGAGCCTGAGCCCGAGGTTCGAGAGGACTTGGACGCTCGGCGAAGCTTCAACGAAAAGCTCCAGGCGGTAATCACCCTTGCTCCTCAAGTTGGTCATTGCTTCTTGGAGATTGGCTACCTGTACGGCCGACAAGAGCTCAGACGAAGAGAGATTCAGTTGCTTGGTGCTGAAGGCCGACCTTTGGGTGAGTTGCCTGTGGAATTGGACCCGCCATCAACATGGGCTGGTTCGAGGCCCCGCTGAGCCCAAGCCTTGTTTTGCAGTTTTCCTTTGGGAGGCTTCACATTGCCGACCACTACATCCTGGACTTTGACATCTGGGGTACTTTTTGCATTTCTATTTGAACGTTGGACAGTTTGTGTTCATCCGGAACTATTTCAAGGTTCTACAATTCTTCTTTTGCAACTTCTCTGAAGAGATCTTTGTTGCCCAGTTTTGGAAGCGATGTCTGCCTCAGCTGAAAAGCAAGGTGGAATGGAACATGTCCCTGCCTGGGATGGACAAGCCAAGGGATGGCGCCGCTATGTGAAAGAGGTGCAATGGTACATGCTTGGCACAAAGCCCAGCCTTCGGCCTTATACTTGGCTAGCAGGTTGATCACGAAGCTGAGCGGTCCTGCACGGCTTTTGGCTATGACATGGCAGCTTCAGGAGTTCAATGGTCCTGATGGGGTGCGAGTTCTCCTGTCGAAGCTTTCGATTCAAAGAGCCCTTTGGTTCGAAAGAGCTTGCCCAATGCTGCTTCAATCATGGCCCAGTACTTCTCCTTCAAGCGCAACCGTGGTGAAGCCATTGCCAACTTCCTCATTCGGGAAACCTTGCGCTATGAGGAGTTCCGCGAGTGCGTGATTCGCCTCAAGGAGGAGAAGAATGGTGTTGATCCTGAACGTGATGGTTTTGGACTTCCAACGTTTGATGAGGAGTCAGCCAGCGAGGGTCCTGACTCTGAGGCCCCAACTGTGAATGCGAGCCCAGATACTTCAGAACGTCGAAGACGGTATGCCCGGATTCCAACAGATGATCCTGGCCAACCTCTTGCAGAAGAAGATGCACTGGTTTTGTCGGTGTCCGACAGCTTCATCTTGGAGCAACTACGAGGATGGCGTCTCTTGACCTCTGCAAGCCTCTCCACTGATGAGTGGCGAGATGTTTTGGGCACTACGCAAGGAAAGCTGGACTATGTCTCCATCAGCGATGCTCTCCAGGTACTCTATGACGAGCAGATGACTGGTGGCACTCGACTTCAACCTGGACATCCTCAACAGCCTCTATATATCATGGACAACATCTTCAAGCCTACATCGCGGACGAGCACTACAATGATGATTGGTCCTCTATGTCTTCAAGCTCTTCCTGGGATGAGTGGGGCGATGATGGATGGTCGTCCTGGAATGCGGCTTTGACTTGGAGCGAAGACCCATGGTCTTACGACAGCTGGTGGCCTGAAGATGGAGAAGATGAAGCTGATGCCAATGCAGCTCAAGAAGGTGATCCCAATGCCTCAGAAGCCTCTGCAGCAGAAGCTCAAAAGATGGAGCAACTCTTGGCTGATGGTCGCAGTTGGAGCCAAGCACAAGGTGCAACGGCAGCCATGAAGAAAGATCGTGGTTTTGGCCGAGCAGCTTGCTTCATTTGCGGCAGCACACAACATCTTGCTCGAGAATGTCCTGACCGACTTTCTCCTCATGGAGTTTCCAAGTCCAAGGGCAAGGGCAAGAAAGGTTTGCACTACATGGAGGATGACTGGCATGACTGGATCTATGCCATGCAGAAGGGCAAGAGCAAGTCGAAGGGAAAGTCCTACAAGGGCAAGTCCTATGATCCCTGGAAAGGGAAAGGAAAGGAAAGGCACCTGTGAATGCCTATGCGCTGAACCACTATGGTTTGGAGATGGAGCTTCAGACCCAGCACAACGGCCCTGTGGAACATGCCATGCTGGCAACAAAGAAGGTGGCCACTCCGAGGAAGACACAGATACCTCGTGAGATCCCACCTGGCAGTGGCATGATCGACTCCGGAGCTACATGCTCTGCTGGACCTGAAACCAGTGCTCAGCGGCTGGTGACAAAGATCATGGAAGCCGATGCAGCAGCACAGATCCGCGTGGAGACAAAGGATCAACCTCGTTTTCGTTTTGGTTCTGGCAAATGGGGACAAGCCCTCTACAAGTTGACCGTTTCTTCATCTATTACGGGGAGTTCACGCAGTTTTTCATGTTTTGCACTACCTGATCCCGAAGAACGTCATGAAGATTGGTTTACCATGGACATGCTGGTTCCTGTTTTAGTAGGTATGGACTGGTTGAAAGAAGCTGGAGCAGTTTGGGACTTCAACGATGGTCATTGTTTTCTTCCTTTGATGAATGGTGTGGTTCTCAACCTTCCTCAAAACCAAAAGGGTCACTACATGTTGGATGTTGTCGAATACCTCACTGATGGTCTCCGAAACTCCAAGGGTCATGCTGCAGTACATATCATGTTGGAAGAACCTGATGAAAAACCAGAAGTCATCAACGATCACTCCATTGAGTTTTTCCCAGTTCAGTTTTCTGACGTTTTTGTCTCTGAGAATGCAAGCGTTGATGGCAAGTTCAGTCAAGCCTTCGAGTACATGGTGAATCGACGGATGAAGTTGTCCTCCAACAGCAGTGTTCGGCTCATGGGTAACCGTTTGCCCTTCGCTTCAACCCCGACAACTTCCTCTCCAAGTAGCCATGCCGAAGGACAAGGACAAGAGCGACATGCAGCCTCCGGACGAATCTCGTCGGATGGAGGGAGATCCTCGAGACCCACGGCATCAACGAAGCCAGTGGCCTTGCAAGGGAACTCATGCCCCAAGCAAGGAGATGAGCAACAGGTACGGCATCTGGGTCAACTGCCTCCAGTGCGGGTACCGTCTATGGTACAAGCCTCGAGTTGGCAGCCCGGCCAACTCCATGGTGACGATGAATTCACCAACGTGAAGCGAGCTTTGGACGAACTACAAGGTCTTCTACCTCCGCAAGCAATGCCGACAGAAGAGCTGGTGCGCGCGATGATCGAGAAGGTGGTGGCCGAGGAGCGCATCAAGACCATGCTGATGGACGTCGAGAAGACCATGCAGAAGAACGAGAAGATCAACAAGGCCAAATCGGCCGCAACAGCCGCAAAGGCAAAAGGGTATGCTTCTCCGATCCAAAGACCTCGAACACCAACACCAGAGCCTGGCCCTTCTCCTGCGTCAAGCGGATGGCAACAGGTCTCTCCCAGCAGGATGGACCTCAACATGGCCTTCGAGCACCTGACAGCGGAGGAGAAGGAGCGCCTCATGCAGCTTGCGGCAGAACGGGCAGTTCAGCCGGTGATCAATGTGAACATCAGCTCGGACACGGAGCTGGAGCCTGCGTACGGGGAGCAACAGCAGTGAAAGATGCAACCTTCAAGATGCCTCTGCGTGTGGGCAAAGGCGTGATGATGATGGCTGCTGCTCTTTGTGACCAACTTCACTCTGAGATTGCCCAATGCTTTGGGAAATGTTCTGCAGTCCTGACAGTGAGCTGACCAACCAAGCTCTCAAAGCTGGCTTGTGCGCCTACCGCATCAACTTGGCGGGCGGCTTCGACCTCTACCGCAAGAACACCTATGATGGCCTACGTCAACTTCGACGTCGCCACAAGCCCAAGAAGTTTTGGATCAGCACTCCTTGCACCTTTTACTGTGACTGGACAGACCTCAACTACCACAACCGACGTGAAGTCCTTTTTGAACGACGTCGCAAGGAGAAGCCAATGCACCTCAAGGTGATGGACTTTGCAGAAGAAGCTTTGCTGGAAGATGAGACTGCCGAGCTCTACTGGGAATGGCCACGACGCTGCAGAGTTTGGAAAGAGCCTCATGTGGAAGAGTTCAAGACTCGACTCTTCAAGAAGTGTGGCAGGAATCTTTACCTGTGCCAAATCGATGGATGCCGCTATGGCATGAGAGACTCTCATGGCAACATCATCAAGAAGTCCTGGCAGATCATGACGACTGATGTGGTCTTCTACACGATGTTCCGCTTGAAGGTGTGTCTTCAAAACCATGAACATGCTCAAATACATGGACTTGAAACGACGCGCAGTGCTTACTACCCAACGGCACTTTGCTGAAGTATTGCACAGCTTTGGCGTCGCACTTTGATCCCTGACCGTTGGATCAAGATGCTTTCAACGGCACCTGTGGTGATGGACCCCTTCAAGGAGCTCTGCGATGGTGATGATCATCAAGCTCATCTATGTTCTGGACTTCCTGATGGCGACCTCTTCATGAAGGACGATGAGAACGTGCCTGATGATGCGGTGGTTCCTGCTGAAGTTCAACCTTCTGAACAAGATCAACGAGCATGGAAAGCGAAATTGGATCGCTTTCACAGACAAGCTGAACATCCCACAGCGCGCAACATGGCGCGGATGATGGCTGATGCACAACTCCCACGATGGAAGATCAAGATGGCCTTGGAGCATGTTTGCCCCTACTGCCAAGAACAAAAGGGTGGTGGCTCCAAGCAGATCAACCCAGCGAGCATGCGAAATCTTCCTGGACCTTGGGAACAAGTTGGCATCGATGTCTCTGAGTGGGAAGTTCCTGGTGAGAACATCAAGGTGAAGTTTGTCATCATGATGGATCTATGCACCAAGTACAAGGTGACCGACGTCCTCTTCAAGAACAAGCATGGCACTATCAAGAATGAGTCCGCCGAGGAGATGATCCGCAGTGTTTCCCTGAGGTGGCTTTCTGACAAGCCCAGACCTCGAATCTTGGTTCCAGACAATGCCAAGAGCCTCACAGCGAAGAAGTTTGTGGATTACATGTCAGACCTTGGCATTGAAGTGATCTACCCACCGGATCATGAATCCTGGGCTCATGGACTTGTTGAACGTGGTCATCAACTGGTGAAAGAGACTGCTTCGAGGATTCATGCTTCCTCTCCTGACCAAGATCCTGAGATCAGCCTTGCACTTGCAACAGCAGCTGTGAACTCCACGGAGTACAACAAGGGATACAGCAGTATCCAATGGGCTTTTGGTCGACAAGCTGAGCTGACTGATGATGAGCTACGTCAGCATCTTCAACTTCCAATTGACCGTCAACAAGATCAATTTGCCCAACTCTTGACAAACCGACAGTCTGCTGAAGAGCGTGCGAGAAAAGCGAGGGCAGATCATGTGCTTTCAAGGATCAAAAACACCACTGTGAAGCAGCCTCGTCGCAATTTCGACCTTGCACAGCCTGTGATGGTTTGGAGGAAGTTTTTGCCTCCGAAGTTTCACAAAGGACCTCGTGGAGGAGTCAAGCGCGCTGTGAAACCGAGATGGATTGGACCTGGCAGAGTGGTTCTACATGAACTCATTCCTGGACAACAAGAAGGAGATCCAATTCCAATCGTTTGGGTGGTCATTGGCAAGACGCTCTATCGATGTTCTGTCTTCTCTGTGCGACCCTTGTCGGATCGAGAACAAGCCCATGAAGAAGCAACAAATGCCATCGATCCCAACAAGTGGAAGCAGCTCTCCGACATCATTCCCAAGAGGGAGTACGTCGACATCGAGCACGAGCAGCCTGCGGATGGTGAGACCGAGGAGTTTGACCTTCCTGAACATCCACCTGATGTGCGAACGGTTGGAACTTCTTCATCAAGATCCTCTTCACGGTTTCCTGGTGTTCCTTACTATGTGCCTGACTTTTCCAAGGTTGGCCCTACTGGACCTATAGGCCTCCGATGCGAATCTCTGGGAAGAAGAAGCCCAGCGATGTCTTTGAGCAGCCTGAGATGGTGAATGACTATGGTGATGAACATGCAGAACGATCACCATCATATGCACCTACAACACCTGCAAAGGATCCTGAGCCCATCGACCTGGAAGATGACGACTTTGGCAACATGCCTCATGGTCCTCTTCGTGAAGATCGCAGATTTTCTACAACATCTTCAACGCCGATGGTGGAAAACAAAGAGCCCTATTTGGACTCTCCTGAAGATGGTCTTCCTGATCCAGTTCCTGAACCTGAGTCCAAGCGTGCCCGCTATGAGGACGAAGACGACAAGGAAGACATGTACATGAAGCACCTGCAGATCTTCAACCAGATCGACAGTGGCTATTTGATGGACATCGAGCTGGACCTTGCTTCAAATGGCCAAAAGAAGGCTTTTCAGAGAAATCCGAGCCTCTACCTGGCGAAGAAACTGGCTGGTTCAGAGGTGTGTTTTCGTCGTTTGAGTGCCAATGAGAAGGAGTTGTTCAAGCGAGCAATGAACTCTGAAGTTTCAAGCTTCATCAAGACAGAGGCAGTTCGCCGCTGTTTGAGCTTTGAAGAGCAACAAGAAGCGAAGCGAAGTGGACGTGTTTTGAAATCAAGATGGGTAATTATTGGTTTGGAAATCAGTGCCTGAGGAATCGCGTGCCGAAGCACTTGCTGACGCCAGGGAGAATGAGAACACAGTCCACAGCTCTGATGGCACTCGCAAAGCAAATGCGAGGATAGTCGTTTTGGGCTATCAACACCCTGACTTGTTGGACCCGTCTCTAGCAACAACTGCACCAGTGCAATCGCAGTTGGTCCGCAACCTCTCCTTGTGTGTGGTGGCTCAACGCCGTTGGCAGTTGGAAGGACTTGATATGTCCACTGCATTTTTGCAGACTGGCAAGACGGAGGAGGATCGCAGAATTTGGATGCAAGGGGTACCTGAACTCAATCGTGCCCTTGGAGCAGAACCTCATGAAGCGGTTCGAATCCTCAAGAACGTCTATGGCAACGCCACAGCACCTCGAGGTTTATGGGAAGATGTGGGCAAAACCTTTTGTGCTTTGGGAGCGAAACGCCTGATCGGCGACAGTTCCTTTTGGATTTGGACCAAGCCAAACCCAAATCCTCGAAATCAGTTTGACACTGAGCAGCTGATTGGTTTTGTCGGCGGACATGTTGACGATTTCAACAGAGCCGGAGATCTTCAAGATCCTGAGTGGCTTCGCATCAGAGAGGCCATTGACAAGAGCTACAAGTGGGGAACGGTGAAAATCAACCAGTACCGACACACTGGTCTGGACATCAACGTCAAGACCGAGGGTAATGACTTTCTGGTCGAGGTGGACCAGAACTACTATGTGGAAGGCCTCATGGACCTGACCATTGCCCCCGAGCGTTTGAAGCGCACCGACAACCCACAGCTCACTCCTGATGAAGTGAGTGCTTGCCGAGCCGGGCTTGGAGCAGTCCAATGGGCTGCAACTCAAACACAAGTTCAAGCCTGTGCGCGAGCCAATCTGCTTCTTTCGCAGATCACAAGCAACCACGACATGAACACGGCCAAGGAGATTCCAATCCAGTTAGCTTGAAGTTTTGGAATCATCCTGAACTTGAACATTGGCAAGATGTTACAATCGTCACGCTTGCTGATCAAGCCCATGCCAATCGACCTAGCGGTGATTCTACAGGCGGTTTGCTGACACTTTTGGGCGGTCCTGCACACCGTGAAGGAGCAGCTGGACGTTTATCCATTGTTGGATGGAGAACTTGGAAGCTGAAGCGCAAAGCCATCAGCACAAATGATGGTGAAGTTCAGTCTATGTTGGAGGGTGAGGACGCGAACTTTAGAACGAGATTCATGTGGTGCCAACTCAATGGTGCACCCATTGGTGATGATGTCCTCAACAGCGCCAACAACATGGTCAAGACCATCTATGGCATCGTTGGAACAGATAGCAAGGGTGGCTTTGATGCTGTCACTCGATCTGAGGGACCGATGCTTGGCCTCACGAATGCCCGCAGTGCTCTGCAGGCTTACCAACTTCGTGAACAACTTGACCATGGTGGAGCAAAGCTCATTTGGCTTGCTGGTGATTGGAACCTGAGCGATGCTTTAACGAAGAAGCCTCAGGTGGCCCGACAGAGCTTACTGCAGTTTCTTCGCAACTTTGTCTGGCGACTTCACTATGACCCGAAGTTTGTCACCAGCGAGAAGAAGGCGAAACAACAAGGACGTGGAGCACTTCAGCAGATGAGAGATCTCCAGTGTTTGCAACCTTTTTCCCATGTCACAACCTTTTGAGCCAAGAAAAGAATTTGGCTGGTGCGAAAGACATGACAGGTTGCCTCATAGGTTGTGTTTCATGTTTGAGACGTTGCTGCACGACCGCAGCGCTTGAGCCACGGCAGTGAAAACGGGCCCACGTGTTCACCTGGTGACTTAGGGAGTCACTCATTCCTTTTTGCTGCCATACTGTTTGGCGACCCAACATCCATACTACTTCCTTGACTTTAACAACAACATCCCTTGGGGGATAGGCTGGATTGGTGGTTGGATTGGTGAACCTCCCTGCTCCCGCATAATCCTTATACGTCCTCTAATCGAGAACAACCTTCTACAGCAACATGAGCCGGCACAGGACCTGACTAGCCATATGGTTTCTACCTGTTTATCGGTCCCCAAAAATTGAAGGAATTCCTACTGAGATTGAAGCCGTGTGAATCAGTATCGCTTGCTGAATTTCCCATCTTTGCGACTCAAATCAAAGGCTGGAAAAGAACCTCATGTGCAAAGGTTCAATAGTGTGTATTGAACTACCCAGCTGGTAATGACAATTATTGCCCGTATTCGCCCACCAGATCGCAGTTTTTTTGTGGGCAAACGTGGGCAAACTGTCGGTTCTCAGAAGTGGTAGGCCCAAATCATACACCATCCTCCTCTTGCCTAACATTACCAAAATAATATTGGAAACAAGGTCCCCAAAAATATTCCATCGTTACTTTGAGTGATCCCCGCTGACATAGATTCAGACATTTAAGATCCGACAAAAAATCTCACATTCTACGGCATTTCATGTGGCATATATTCTCACATTTTCTTTGACATTCTGTCTGGCATATATTCTGACATTTTATCTGGGATTCTATTTGACATATGTGTTTTTTATCAAACATATATTCGGACATTTTCCGGGCATTCTGTCTGACATGCGTTCTGATATTCTAGCTGACATCTTATCTGGCGTTCTATCTTTCATTTTATAACATACATTCTGCATGTTTCCACATTCTTTCTGACACATAGTCTGTAATTTTCTTTGACATTCTAAGATAGGTACTGCCCATCTGACGGACATTATTACATCTTTTCTGGCATTGGTCTAGTGTCGAGCTCGCGAGTTTGTGCAGGAGTCCGGCATGCTGCAAGCATCCGCAGAGGAGCAGACCTACTGTTATGATTGGTGATTTTCAAACATTGATTCCCAGCAACCAGCTGGTTGGTTGGTGATTTTACGCCAAGTTGCGGTAATAATGCTGGAACCAACATTAAGCCCTTGTGGATATGGTAAATCGATGTAAATCGTGAACCCCAAATGTTTGCTAAGGTTTCCCGTTGGGAAGTGCGAAAGTGCAGCTGTGGCACATGAGCAAAGCGGGCTCACCACACAAACATTTCTTGAGCCACTGGAAGCCACAATTTGGTTGAGGCTCAGGGCCAGACACAAAACATCACCGGATTTTCCAGCATGGCTAAGAATGAATATGAAATGTTCACACATGTTCTTCCATGAGAATGAATCCATTTACCAAGGATGCACCAAACTTTCTATAGACAACTGCATCGTGCTTTGTGGCTGAAATATCCACACGGGATGATTTTGCATGCGGAATTTATCACAGCAATGGAAAGAATGAAATGTTCAGTTTCGATACGAGCCTCGTATACAATAAGGAACCTTCCTTTTTCAAAGTTTGAATACCAAACTGTGACAAACCAAGAATGGGTAGGGTGTTCAGCCTGGAGTTACATATGTGTATATTATATATATACACTATATATACCACATATATATATATGTAGTGTATATATATAGTGTATATATATAGTGTATATATATAGTGTATATATATAGTGTATATATATAGTGTATATATATATAGTGTATATATATATGATAAAATTAATAACATATGATATGCTAGAATACTACGTGTATATATATATATATCCCAGCGCTTTGAACCTTAGCACTAATGGCGTGAAGCTTTCATGCCTGCCTCATGGGTATCATGGAGCAGCGTGGCATGATTGGGATTTTTCCATGGCCATGCTAAATTACTGGTGGGTATAGTCTTCCTGAAGATTGCAAAGGATCACATCATAGGTACACCTTCAATATTTTTCTATCAATTTTCACTTGATTTTGAAGTTCTGTGATTTGGGTCAGGATTTTCTCTACTTTAAGATTGCCAGCAGAACTTATCGTTCGCCCAACTCACTAATTACTTTGACCACAATTTTCGCACCTCTTTCACGTCAACACAGGGTGCAAATAACATAAAAGCATAGCATAAATCTGCCACCCCCTAAAACAATATGTAGAAGGATATAGCTTACTTTGTAAAACAATAATTATATAATATACATAAAGGGTTTACTTTGTAAAACAAGAATTGTATGCATAAAGGGTCTAAATCTGCTGCCACCCTTAAAACAATGTAGAAGGGTATTACAATGATGGATTTACTCTGTAAAGCGCCACGTTTTTGGTTTCCCAGTAAGTTTCTGCAACAACCGTGAAAAGGCAAGCCGGGGCAGATCTTTCAGAAAATCAGGACCTATGTAGTTTTAAAAAAAAAAGCCAGGATGTGTGCCGGACCGCTTTCTCTTTGGTACCCTTTTCCCTCAACAGCACGTTCTCTTGACATTTGTTTCTCACTTTTTCTCGTGCCATCTCTTTCTCCTGACATCTCTTTCCCTCTCTTTCTCTTCACATCTCTGTCCCTTGACATCTCTTTCCCTTGACATCTCTTTCCCTGGACATCACTTTCCCTCGGCATCTCTTCTCTTGACATCTCTTTCTCAGCGTCAATTGGAGAAAATCTCACCAAACAGCAGCATTGCAAGACCAAAGCAGTTCGAGACAGGATTGCAAAACACATGAGCACCAGCCCACAGACTCACGTCAAAAGCCACGCCAAAGTACTGCCCACGAAAAAGCGCCGTCATCTTGGGACTGCAAATCTCAGAAATAGCACCAGCCCTAACCAGTGTCCAGTGGGCCACTCAGCCATGGAGAATCCCAGGTTTCTTTATGGTTCTGACTCCTATCCTGGTCCTATCAGGTCATGGCATGGTTACTAGCGGCTCAAAAAATGTCGGATCAAGCTGAAAACCACTTGATGCGTCCTGTAGAGGAGCGCATGAGAAGGTCTTCATGCAATCCTCCGCGCATTGTTTGCAGCCATGACCTGCCATGACGGACAGTGAATTTTGCTAACATCGTGGGTTGCGGGATAACCCAAGTTAGCACCGAAATCGACCATCTTAGTTGCAAAGAAAAGAAATAAGCCTAAATATAAACATATAACAGATATTGAACAGCTTAGCTGTTTCAAATCCAGTGATCTCATATGTGATTTCCATGTGATTTCGTTGCTGAAACGGTGTAAAAATCCACCCTTTTTCAGCCCTTCGGTGGCCGGCCTTTGGGAAAGTACTCCGGATAGCTCTGCGCCAGGTGGAGCGCGGTTTCTCCCAGTTGCTTCGCAGTGCGCAGAACGGCGGACTCGTTCAACTGGCACTGGTCTAGGTCCTGCCCATCGGCGTTTATCTGAAGGATGATTTACCAGGGTCAATATGGTAAACCAGCGAAAAGTATGGAGACGTCTAGAAAAGTAACATCCCAGTGAAATAGTGATAATTGATGACAATTGACTGTTCTATCTAAATCACCCTCTGGTCATTCAACATACAAGTAGCTATGGAAAATGATCAGAATGAAAGGCAAATCAATGTATAAACCTTCTATAAGCGGGCAATGTTTTATGGCTATGTTGGATGTCCTTTTAGGATAACTATAGTGAGTGGGATGCGTTCATATTTGGGTTTGTTTGAGTAATTTGGTGCCCGATTTTCACCCACTCAGTGGCTATCATGTTTTTCCCGCAATGGATTGGAACAACCTTCTTTTGTGATAAATTTAACCGATTTGTTTGTGGGGATTTGTTTTGAATAACGAACAATTGTTTGGAATCAAATATTTACTGGTATATCACGGGATACCATCATCAGAGGGTTTGTGTATTCCTTTTTCATGGAAAATGATCAAACCAAGACATTGGATTGGGTATTTTTTTCAGATAATGATTAGTTCACTCAGCTGTATCCAGCTATATTATGTGGATTCAACATGGGATATACCGAGTTGTATCGCTGAAGCACTTTTTGGCAGTCGCGCTGCCTGGCTGGTGGCTTAAAACCCTCTGAACAACAGGAACACATCTAGATGTTTTCCACCCGCTGGCCGGTTCAAATTGGGAGTAACATTCAGTAAATTTTTGCATCAGGGGTTGGTAAATGACCCACTTTGCGAATTTTTGACATCGCCTAACATCACTAACATGTGTATCTGTTGGAGACGGTATCCCCAATAGTTAGGTGATGTTCACTGACTCTGAGACACTCTTGCGCGCGTCTTGGCTGGCCGGGGTGCACTGATCGTGTGTAGTTAGGTGATGTTCGTCATCTAGACTTGATCGGCTCCCATAGAAGTTATACCCCGTTTCCCCATCCCAGGAAATACTGGTTGGTTGAAAGTTGATATGGGTATTCTGTTAACTATGGGCAATAATGATAATACTCCAAAAAAAGTCAGGTTCAAAACCCCCCAATATTCAATAATAAGAAACCAATCAACTATAGTTTAGCAATTATATCCGCACGCCCTTGATAGTTGAAACCCAATAAACACCGATAATTGATGGTTGAATCCTCTCAAAATCCCCGGTTTTGAACAAGGCTTTGGTGGCTCAAGTGACGTCCTTGTAATAGAAGGATGTCACATCCTTGGGATCTTTCACGCCATGGTGCATGATAGGACCAACCTCATCATTGGCCCACCTCGCGATGCGAGGAATGGATTACTTGGATCCATGGAGAAATCCGTGACCTGTCGAATGTTAGACAAAGCTATGTTGGATTTCTTGGTTGGTTACCATGTTTAGCCTATCTTTACCTACAATTTTGTTGCCTTTTGACATGTTCCTCCATCTTTGAAACTGTTAACATGCCTTTTTTTTCAACCGTTGCAGCTCCAGTATCAGTTACACTCCGGTAATCATGGCAATATGGAAAATCCACCATTTGTAAATGATCTTCCCAGCTAGAAACCGTCATGTTTCATGATTTTTCATGACTTCGGGAATGTTCCCAGCCACGATGAAGGCGGCACACATCTTTGCTGATCCCGCTATACTTCGGCCATCTTCGGCCATCTGAACGGCCCTTCGGCCTATTCAAAAAGACACCATCCGCCACATAGAACTCCAAGCGCGGCCACAGGGTGAGGGAACCCGTCTCCATGTTCCATGCACGCGCCGGGCCAATGGCCTCACATGGGGGGTTTCCCTAGGGTGAATTATTTGAGATATAATAAGGATAGAATGAGATAGATCCTGGGAATTCCTGGGATAATATATATATATATATATGCATATATATATATAAATTATATATAATATATATAATTTATATATATATAATATTGGTATATCATCTAACAGTAAGATTTGGGTCTGAAAATGAAATACAGTATACCCCGCATGGCAATTTGAATGGGAAAATGTCCCATCCAACATGAACCAAGCATCAAATTTGTGGGTAGCCCATTTTCAAACAGCTCCATTTGTAGTAGCAACTACCCAGAGCAGCCATCTAAGAATTAGTTCAAGGGAACAAAGCTACAAGAAACTTCCCAAATCGTTGGTACCCTCTGGTCATTTATAGTGGATTTTCCCATTAAAAATGGTGATTTTCCATAGTTATGTTTCCATGTGTTCTACTTTCTGATCATGAAGGTCTGGCGGATCAACTGACCCACCTCTTTGGTGCAATGGACATAGTTCCAGTAATGGTCCAAATTGGTCACCTTAGCACAAAACAGGCGTCAAGTCAAGGCAAAAAGCGCCTCCAATTCGCAACAAGAACCGCAACAAGTCAGGTCATGTCAGGATGGACCTCATCTTTCGCAGCTGTCAGACACAAAAAAAAACAAATCATAAGCACCACCCCCCAAAAAAAACATCTGTTGACCTTTCATATGATGTTTTATGATGAGTTTTATCCTCATTTTCCAACAGTTTACCATGAGAGCTTCCAGTGGTGGCCGTTGAAGCAAGGCCAAGCGACTTTGTCGGTGAGATTTCGATACCTTGGAAACGTGGATGTCCTTCAACTTTGGGTGCAACAAATGACATGGAGATATTTGATGGGGATATCATGGGGATATTTTGATGGATGATATGGGATGATTTTTTCACAATTGAAAAATCTCCGAATGCCATCAAAATGAACAGAGAATTTGGGCTCTTAAATCTGATGAACACTCCTGAGCACTGATCAGCACCTTTTCACTCAGTCAGCTCGAAGGTAGCTGAAAGCACTAAAATGGCTGCAGCACATATACAAACATATATGCTACATGTGACATAGTCTACACTGTACACATATCTGATCACGCCTCCCGAGCCTGTTTAAAAACGGCGCTCCCGTCCAATTATTTGAACTAGGCGAGTTTTGATATGTACAGCTACTCATAGCCACGCTCAAGCCATCTATGCTCTCAGTGTCAGGTGATGCTCACCTTCCAGAAAGTGAAAATTCATATTTCGCAAGGCTTTATTCATTTTCTCTTCTATGACAGGTTTCGTCAAGACGTCGGCAAGCATATCGCCAGTGTCGACCTTCTTCAGCCGAAAATAGCGCTTGGCAACGCGGTCTTGTACCCAATGGTATTGAGTATCCACGTGCTTGGCCTTGCCTAGTCCTCTGCGAGAACCCATTGCTATTCCTGCACTTGCGTCCATGAAAACTTCACTCTCGGGTTGCAAACCCCAGTCTTTGGCGGTTGAAACTTCTCCCAGCAAATTGCTGGCACCGCTCACAAGAGCGTAGTACTCACTCTCTCCAGACGAAAGACTGACTACTCCTTGTCCTTTAGAGTAAGTCTTAATACAACAACCTCCGGCCATCAGGACGCCTCCTGACACGCTCTTCCTCGTCTTCACGCAACCAGCGTGGTCAGCATCAGACCACATCACAAATGGACTGAGTTTGCTCTGATGAGGAAAGAATTGTGCCATGCGTGGTCGATACCTTAGGTATCGTGCAACTCGTTTGAGCATAAGCATGTGGCTGGTAGTTGGTCGTTGTAGCCCTTGTGCTAAAGATCTTGTCGCTACTTGCAGATCTGGTCGATCTTGTGCCAAATAAGCTGCTCGCATTGCAACTGATCTGTACTGGGTTGCTTCTTCATCATTGAGAAAAGCAGTGGCGTTCTTGAGGTCTTCCACTGAACCCTTGGCAAGTGGTGTCTTGACTTTGGCTCCTCGGGGACCATCTCCGAGTAAGTCAATCACCAACTCTGCATGACGTGCATCTGGTTCCCACCAAATTCCATTCTCCTTCCATGTGATAATTCTGTTCAGGACTCTGATGTCCTGGATGGTGTTTGGTGTTCCTGGTGGTCCTAAAATACCACGTTCCACACATTTCCACTTCTTCGACAGCTCTTCATGAAGCCATTTGATGTTGTCAAATGTTCCGGCTGTTGTAAAATCATCTCCATGTACAACAGTTCTGAGGTCTCGGCCTGCATGGTAGTAAATGCATGGATTGCTTTTTCCTTGCTTGAAACCTAAGGCTAACATAACCTTCTGTATTTGCAACTCCCAGTTGAGAGGTGCGTCTCTGGTTCCATACAAAGACTTGAGCAATCTTCCTACCACATCTTCTCCAGGCTTCTTTGCTTCTGCAGGAAGTTCCACATAGATCTCACGCGTCGCATCTGAGTAAAAGTGGGCGCGTTTCACATCCAAAAATCCTAGAAGTCTACGCTTGCGATAGGCTTCCTTGACAGCTTTTCCAGCGTCTGGCAACTGAAACGTGACGGCTATTGTAACTAGCATCTTCAAAGCCGACAAACTGGGCATAGCTGCGAAGAACTCATCAAAACCTGAGCCCTTCTTGACTTCTTGAGCTACTAACCTACTTCTATAAAGTGGATTCTCTTCATCCTGCTTGTTGACATCTACCCATCGTGTTCCAATGGTGCGTACCCCTTTGGGCATCTTGTGTCTGGGAATCTTTTCCCAAACTGGAAAACTTTCGATGATTTCGACCTCATCTTTTCTGGCTTGTTCTACACCTTTGCTGTCTAAAATCTTTCCACTGATATCATCGTAATAATACCATGTGGCTGCTTCATCTTCCAGTTCTGGTGGAAGAGGAATTGTCTCTTCACAAACTGGCTCTTCTTCACCTTCAATGGACTGAAGGTACTTCTCCCGATCTTCCATGATCAGGTTCATAAGACATTGGTCTATGTCATCCATGTCTTCTGGTCTCTCATTCTCAGGTGGCCGTTTGGTGCCCTTAGACGCCTGAGCTGAAGCAGCTCGGCTGTCCTTGGACTTTGACGTTTCGCCTCCTGAGTCTGCAGGTCTTTTCCGACCTTTGGTTGGAGACATTTCCAACCTTTTGTGTGCTCTTTCTTCTTGCTCGCCTCCTGCCCTCTTGGCTGAGGCTGTGCTTGCGCTTGCGCTTTCTGCAGGTGGATCTGCAGCTTGTCCGGTAGCAGGACTCTGCCTCGCGATAGCAGGTCCAGCTGTTGGCAAACTTGGAGCAGATTCCCCTGTGGCTGAGTACCACAGTTCAGTGACGATATCTGCGTCATCAATCAAAGGCGCGTTGATGACTTCATCTCCTAAACTAGGATCCATTGGTTCAGACTTGATAATGTTTCCTGTTTTGAAATCTCTGGTGACTCTCCACCAGACATTATCCCAACTGGGACCTTCTGGCATAGTACCCTTGAGATACCTTGCATTCTTGTCAAGGCGCGCAAACACCTTAAAACCGTGAGGAACTTCTTGTGGTTTCTCACTTGAATACCCATAAAGAATCTTTGTGCCTTCTTCGGACACTTCTTGTTTCTGACCAGTGATTTCAGAATCAACCTTGGCCGTATGTTGGGCTACTCTCAGGTTGCCCTCTTCTGCTTGAAGCAGACGTTCCATCCTTTCTCTGCAGGCTGGAGTGTGATGAACTCCAGTGCCTCTTTTGCCAATTCTAGTGGCATCACAGGCGACACAACCAGCGGTGTAGCCATACTTGTCCAAATCACGTTTGGTGATGTAAAGTCGTCTTGTCGACTTCTTTGGTGGCTCAACTGGCACTGATGGCGCCAGTGGCTGCTGATCTCCCCCAACAATCTGAGGAAGCAAAACATCATCTCTTTTTGATGCTTGAGGATCCCATGGAACCCCAGTGACTGACATCAAAGTTTCGGCATCATATCTGTCGTCAGCACTCTTGCGTCGAATGCTTTGCACAGTGAAAACACCTGATGCATTTCCCACTATCTTCTCAGTGGTATTGTCTTTGACTCCCAAGAAAACTCCTTGGTGCCATCTTTGTTCAAACTTGTGACCTCTTTTGAGGAATTCAATTGTTTCCCCAAATGGTGGTAATGACACTCTCCACTCACGACCACGGTGTCTAGAGTACGGTATCTTCCCATCTTTGACTTCCAATGATCTGTGAAACAAATTGTAAGTGGTGCTAGCATGTTCAACCAACCATGTCAAAACTGGGTGGTCGTCTGGCACCTTTCTTCCATAGCTTGTCTCCAAGGCACTTCTGAGTGTCCTGGATTGAGATTCAATAGCTTGAACTGCTCTTTCAATTTCCCCTTTGGATTCTGAGACTCCTTTGGGAACTTTTTCCAAAACCAACTGTTTGTCAAAACCATTCTTGGCTGCCTCAACTACGGAGTTGAGTGCCGGCTCTGGGTCATATCTCATGACCATCTTGGGGTACCCAAACTTCTTAAGGTCATTCAAAAGACACTTAGATCCAATAGGACCTTGGGTAACTCCCTTGTATGGCAAAACGTGTGCGTAGGTCAACTTGGACCATCGATCATGTACTATCAAAACTGGTGCATGCTTTTTCTGCACTTCTTCTGTGATGACAGTGTCATCCACTGAATTCATGAAACAATAGTCAGCTGAGATCACAGGAACTGTTTCATCTGAATGATCTACTTTGACATGTCTCATTGCCTTTGCCTTACCTCGAATGCAATGTTCACACCAACTCCTAAAAGGATAATGGCTGACAAAATGTTCTTCTTTTTCTCTCTGCGTCGGCGCTGCTGCAGTTGGTAGCGCTTGAGAACCTAGCTTACTACTGCCCGGTTCATCATCTCCACTACCTGCGCTCTCTGTGGTCTCCACAGGACTTACGCCTTCAACCCTTCTGTGGGCTGCACATGAAAATCCATGGCTATCTTGAAAACACCTCCAGTCATGGTGACTGGAACCTTCTTGGCTCCCCTTTGCAGAAACGATCCATTGGGGCCGAAGGTTACTGCCCAGCCTTTCTCAACCAGCTTGGACACAGACAACAATGGCTTTGCAACATCCATTGCCCGGAACTGTCCCACACCTTTGACTTGTGGGCCTCCTTTCTCACCCATTGTCACCATAGGGTTGCACACCCCATGCACCTGGACTGGCTGCCCTGATGCGTTGGTGAACGGCTTCTCATCCACAGGTGTCATAGCCAACTCCAATGACTGTGCCAATTCCTTGGGTAGGCAACTGGTTGCTGCCCCTGAGTCAACGGTGGCCCAGACAATGGTATCCACCTGAGATGCCAAACTTCCCAGGAAGTCGAGGTTGGAATCAGATCGAACTCCTCCTCTTGGTGAATGCTTCCTGGGCTTGGGAGATGGCGTTTTCTCCCTCTTCTTCCTGGCTTTTCTTTCCATGTAGTTAGCTGCATCACGCACCGTCTTCTCCAGGAATCTCTTGGTGCCCATGCTGAACTTTCCCCTGCCCTTGGACGCCTGGGCTGAATCAGCCCGGCTGTCCTCAGGCGCTCTCGATGGGGATTTGGACTTCAGCTCGATGGGTGCTCTGGGTGCCTCTTCTTCTTCTTTCTTTTCTTCTTTCTCTTTCTCCTCGACCTTCTCTTTCTCCCCTGGCCTCTTGGGGATCTTCTTCACCTCGGGCTTCACTTCATCTTTGCCCTTGTGCCTGAAGCGCTCGTAGTGCTCCTCAAAGCTTTGCTTGCGCTTCTTCCTTTCTTCATCCTTGGCAATCTCTTGGCGCCTCTTCTCATCTTTGGCTTCTGCATCATCCATGGGGCGCTTCTGGGATGATTCTCCTTCTTCTCGTGCCTCTCTCTCTGCCTTTACCTGACGATGTTCTTTCTTCCAAAACTCCAGGGCATACTGAGGATAGCATTGCTTGTTCTCCACATGTTGCCAAAAGCTTGCAACGCTCATGGAGTTGAGTGCCTTTCCACATGACTGGCACTTCACATAGGAATACCCTTTGTTGGAGACAGTTTTGCACTTCTCATGCAACTCCTTGAATGGAATGGGTCTTCGAAAGGAATTCTGCCAATGCTCGACTACATCCTCCATGCCTGGTGCTGGCTCCTGGTTGTAGGGCAAATCGTCTGGATCTGTCTCATCAGAAGATCCTAGGTCAAGAACTTCACCATAGGCTTTCTAGTAGGCTTCCTTCAAGACGTTGTCCAACTTGCTGAGGACTTCAGGATCGGTTTTCAGCTTTTCAAGTCTGCTGACAAACTCATATCCTTCAGAGGAAATGCTCTCCTCAGAGGAAATCTCACACTTGTCATGGATCCATTGTGGGATTCCTTCTTTGCTCAACTCTTTCATCTTCTCCTTATTGGCCTTCTTCCTTGCTTCATCTGCTCTTCGTCTTTCAGACCTGTGATGTCCTCCTCTGTGGCGCTTAGGTTCCAGCTTTCTTGCTTTGGGAGGTTCAGGAAGATCTCCCATGTCATCCTTGTCCCACTTGTCAGGGTTGGCCTGTCCAAAGGTGGCCAACTCATAGCGCTTGAAGCTGGATGCTCTTTGTCCAGCGGTGGCTGCTCGATGACTGGCAGCTCTCTGCCTGTCCTTCTCCTTCTTCTTGGCAGCTCTTGGATGTACTCCAGCATCAAGGTCGGCTTGCATCCGACGAGAGGGTGCAGCCGGTGCTGAAGCAGCACGGCCTTCTGCCCTCACTTTGGCCATTGCCTCTTTGGCCTCTTTGTGATGCTGGGCTGCCTCTTTCTTCAACTTGTCCAGGGCTTCTTGGCGTTCCTTAAGAGCTTGATTTGCTTGACGCCCTTTGTCCTGAGCTTCTTTGACAGCGCTCTCAGCCTGAGCAATCATCTTGCCAAACAGCTCCTTGTTAGACCCAGAAGCTGATGCCAAAGCGCTCTGAGCCATGACGATAGCGCTCCTGGTCACAGTGCTCCTTGAAGGTGCTTGAAGGTTTGCTCGTCTTGGGCTTCGACCACGACGAGAAGATTCATCTCGAGCTTCAGACTTGGGTGGCATAGTGTCTTCCAAGGCAAACAGCGCAGTGATCTCTGGTTCAGGTTGATCACCAGATGAGGCTGCAGGTTGTTGCTCTTGAGCCCAAGTGTCAGACTCAACATTAGCAACTTTACGACCTTTGCCTTGATCACCTTTACCTTTACCTTTGTCTTGACCTTTCTTGCCTTTCCCTTTGCTCTTGGAGTCATTGGTGTTTTGTTTATACCAAGACTGCTGATTCCAAGACTGATTGTTCCAAGAACCCTTGTGGTATGAATTGTTTGACAAAGACGAAGACTGACTCTTTCCTTTGTCTTTACCTTTGGACTTACCTTTGCCTTTCCCTTTGTCTTGTTTTCCTTTTCCCTTACCCTTAGCAAGGGAATCTACATCCATGGGAACGGCTCCTGATTTTGCTTCTTTCCTGGTCTCGACGTTCTCAAGGTAGGCCAAAACTTCAGCTTTCACCTGGTCATACGTGGTCAATCTCGAAGCCTGCAAGTCCAAATGATCTTGCAACTTGTTGGGACACATCTGCTGCAAGCAACTCCTGCAGATGTCATCTTCAAGTGGTTTCTTTCTCCTGTCTTCGTACTTTCTTTTCAAGTTCTCCCAACTCTCAAGCCCTTCTCGAAGCTTATCAAGACTGCATTGACTTGGATGCAGAACCTTTTTCAACAAGGCTGAATTGGCTTGAGGATTTTGAGGATCATATTTGCACAACAGTCGTCTCATGGCTTCTAGGCCAAAGTGGCTACCACGAGATGTGTTCTTGACAATTTCCAACGCTTCTCCCTCAGTCAATGATATGAGGGCTTGTCTAGCCTGAGCTGAAACTAGCTCGGCGCCTTCATCAAAGTCTACTTCCAGACTTGACTCAGTGATCTCTTTGTCACACTGAGATTCAACTTGTGCCACAATCTTCACAGCATTCTTGTGGCAACTTTCAACCCATGTCTTAAACTTGTACCACCAACTATCCCAAGTGCCTGATGCTCCATTGAACTTGTCAGGTTTTGGTATGCCTTTCAACTCTGATCTGTCTTTGTACTCAACAGACCTCTCAACATTTCTGTTGATCTGTAGCTGCTGGTTCATAGCCTCGGTCATTGCCTGATTCAACTGCGCCTGACCCTGAGTCAATTGGGCCATCATCTGCATAACCATCTGGGACATGTTGGGACCGTTGGTCTGTCCTTGTGCTGGTGCTGGTGGAGTGCCTGGTTGCTGAGGTGGCTGCTGTTGCTGAGCCATCCTTAGTCGTTCTTCAGGTGCTTTGAGACCTGATTCAAGAGAACCCTTGGGTACTTTGGAGATGCACTCCAAGGTTATGGAAGTACTTTGGATTTTCCTGATTTTCAGGAGCTTGAGTGTCAACCTTTTCCAGTTGGCACGAGGTGAGCGCGCCAGAGCAGAACCAGCTCGGCGTCGACACCTACACATTCACAGCTGGGTATCAGAACCTCAGCTCCGCTACCATGAACAGAGAATTTGGGCTCTTAAATCTGATGAACACTGAGCACTGATCAGCACCTTTTCACTCAGTCAGCTCGAAGGTAGCTGAAAGCACTAAAATGGCTGCAGCACATATACAAACATATATGCTACATGTGACATAGTCTACACTGTACACATATCTGATCACAAAATCCCTATATATATATATCCACCATCAAAATAGATCAAAATAGATCAAAATAGATCAAAATAGATCAAAATAGATCCAAATAGATCCAAATAGATCAAAATAGATCAAAATAGATCAAAATAGATCAAAATAGATCAAAATAGATCAAAATAGATCAAAATAGATCAAAATAGATCAAAATAGATCAAAATAGATCAAAATAGATCAAAATAGATCAAAATAGATCAAAATAGATCAAAATAGATCAAAATAATCAAGCTCTGGCCTTTGCGAAACAAAGCCAGGATACATGTCGTAGCAGGTTCGGAATCCTTCAACTTGGACCGTTTCCATCACCTACAGCTGGGATCAGCTGGGAGGGCGAGATATCCATAAGGATAGGAATAGGATAGTTAACTTAAATGTTAACAAGTGCCAAGAATAGTTGATTAATGTTGATTAATGTTGATTAATGTTGATTAATGTTGATTAATGTTGATTAATGTTGATTATGGTTTTTCTGGTGGCTAATGATGGCCAATCAGGGTTACATTGATATTCAACATCCCACAGAAACAATGGTTTAGGAAGGGTATTTACACATGGGGACCATAGAATGGCGGCGTTTAATATTAGGGGGTTGGGATTAGAAGGAATATCAAAGGGGAAAACAACACAATCACGAATGAAAAATCAAACCATGAACAATTTTCCAAAATATGTTGATGACTTTTGGATGTTGATGTTCTTTCTCCAACAACTTGAGTCTTTGGATCTTGGTCTGCCAAGACTCTACCAGTTGGATAGCGCCATTGTCAGCTGAGGAGAATCCAGATGGTCTCCGGTCGTAGTATTCCGCCCATCGCATCAAAAAGTCGCGTGCGAAAGGGGTGTTGCGAACCATATAGTTACCTCGGTGTCAATCAAAGAAATTGTAAGATGAATTCCGGATTCAAAACTCTGCTGCTTTACGAGTACGTGTGCATGTTGAAGGATTTGTTGAGTTTGATTTCACATATCTCACTCCCTGTTCTTTGTTTATCGTTCAACTGTTTTTGGCTTTCAAAACCCACAGCGAGTACGACGACGAATGATGCAAAAGGCCAATGTGTCAGTTGCATGGTCCAAGCCTTGTGGGACAATGCTGCCGAACCATGAGCAGCAAGTCTATGGCTTATTGTAGACATTTGTAGACCCTTACCCACAACTAGGAGCATGACCCTCCATTTCGGATGAAATTCTCCAGTGAAATTGTTGCTCCTATGATTATTCTGCCTTAATCATGATAATCATGTGGGCATCCACCATTTCTTAGATTATTTTCTATAGGCTTCACCATGGGTTTTCTTTGATGTGACTCCCGCATAATGCAGCCAGAAATGCCAGCCATGATCTCATGGAATAGACAGCCTTGGTCCATTTGTGCAGTGGCGAATCGCGTCTGTTGGCATCACCATGATGTTTTGCTGTGAAAACTGAGGACAGAGCGGTTGTAGAGTTGAACATCTGCGCTGTGGTTGATCCACTTCTCCTTCCAACGGAAATGTCTCCGCAGTTAAAAAAACATCGACGCATGTGTCTTCTCTCGGCAAAATCTGCTATACTTTCTTTGATAATGTGAATTTATGTAGAAAAACAAATTTGTTGTACTTATTAGTTTAATTAGTTCAATTAATAAGATCACATTGCACCCTCATCTTGTGGCAATTGGAAGCATTCACCTTTCATAGCATGGCACCCAGGTCTCCAGTGAGCGCATTGGTGCAGCCACTACGACATCACCATCAAAGATGGCCGCGGTGTAGGAGGCTGGTTGGCTCTCCAGGAACTTCGAAACAGTGCAGTGCTTTCCTTGGAGCAGTCCAGCATGTCCAGCATTCCAGTGGGCACAGGCAGCCGGAGATCTACATGGTGTTTTTTGGCTTCCCGTTTCTGTGTGTCATCTTAAAACAGAGGATTTACCAGCCAAGCAGCTGAAGAAAAAATCTTTGAAGCGGTGGCACTCCTCATACTCCGAGGCGCTTAGGATGTGCAGGTTGTACTTGTGCCTGCGCTACTGTGCTAGCGAAAATCCAACCAAAATGCAGAGCCAATGGGATCCCAACATGTTTTTTTAATATGTTAATGGTCACAACACTCCGATTCCAGTCATATTTGTGACATTTTGTGACCATGGTGACCATAGATTGGCTTCAAATGAACGGATGACGGATGGGAGTTTAGGAGATACAAAGTACCTGGTTCTGATCATAACCAGGGCTAGCCATGGGATAGATGGCCCTAATCGAAATAGATGCTTGACCGTTCTTAATAGCATGGTAATTTCCATGGCGAACTGTTAGTCATAACCAGATGGCAACAATGGTTTCTTCTATTATGTTCTATTCTGAAGCACTATTGAGTGCGTGGTTTGACACAATTCAGCGAAATCAGAGGTGATCTGCCATGGTAAAGCAGGATACAATGATACAATATATACAACGTTACCCATAGGATCCATGTATGGTATATATGCTAACATTGGGGGTATATTGATGGTAAATGTTACCATATACAGCATACATGGATCCTATGGGTTATACTATGCTTACTATGCAAATGGCAATTCCAATCTCATGTTATCATAGGTAGCGGGCAGCCTTTTTGACGCTTCCTGTCCCTATGGAACAACAATTATCGCCGTGTTTAGGGTCCGGAACCGTCCAATGTGGTGTCCAATAGTTTTACCACTGCATTCGAGTTCCAATTGACATTAAATAAACATAAATAAACCATCACGGAGGCCAAAATGGGTTTATGTGAAATGTGGTGGAAACAAACAATAACATGTCCCCATATTGATGCTTATAAATGGGATTCCGGTCCATTTTCAGACATGCCTCAAATATCATATTGTTGATGACATGTCCACTAGATATATCTGTTCACATCATACATCACTACATCCCAATATAATATCATACACTAATTTTAAGATCATATATTCAATGATGTGTATACTAAGATCAATATATATAATATAATATAATATGAATACTATGTGTATATATATATATATTATCAAATGACATCCATATATTCCTGCAATTTTTGAAGGACATATCCCATGATTTTTAGCCAGCCCCATGACCCTAATACGTGGTAACCCAACGGCCTCTCCGCATAACATCGAAGGCTTTTAATCTGGGCTGCGTATCGACCTGTTCACGGCCGATAGAAGATATTTCAATAGATCCTCAGTAAAATATGGGAAGATCAAAAGGAAAATGTCATATTCTATCTACTTCAGGATTCTTATGTATCTATATGTTATATATATATATATATCTATCATGTACATGTATATATTGTAAACCACCGCAGCGGGTAGACATAACCCATATGTGTATATACGTGGGATATCTTACAGTAATCCGTTTACAAACATATGCGTACATGTCAAGCAAGCAGGGGGCACTGTTTCGGACCCTTAAAAAAAGCCTCGTCGTAGTGGGGAATCGACTCACCATCCTTCTTTGGGCTTCAATTATTTTTGTTCCACACACACACGCATTCGAAGAATCAATTCATCTGCTTCAAAAGAACTGATGGTTGTCCCATTTTTCTTCGATAAGTTCTGCGTGGAAAAAAATACAAGTTTGTTGGAAGAAAACTGGAAAAAATGGCTTGTCTGCAAATAGTGTGCCCCTAAATCCACTTATGTTTTTCCCTCTTCAAGTTGCTAGCTTATGGGTATACCGGGTTTTTTTCAATTTTCAGACAAAACCCATGCTGATACTCTTTATCCTCTGGTAACTTAACATAGCTATTGAAAATGGTGATTTATAGTGGATTTTCCCATTGAAAATGGTGATTTTCCATAGCTATGTTAGTTTACCAGAGGGTAAAGATCTTTTTTCAGAGTCTTTGTCAACCTCAACAAACATCTCAGAGTTCCGGCATCCATAAATCCGTCCAAGGCACGCTGAAAGGACGGATCGCCTACCTTTTTGGGCGGATCAACAAGGGATGGTGAACACCGACATGGCAGGACATGGCTCACCATGCTCGTCATTGGGGAACCACAAAATTGGATGATTTTTAGAACTAAAAATAAAATCATCAGTTATATCTTCGCCTGTTTCGCCTGTTTCGATAAAAAATCATCAGTTATATCTTCGTAAAATCTCATATCCCAGTCTTTTATGGTTTGACACTTGACATCATTCGACCCATCCCCATCTTTTTTTCGCCCAACAAAAAAACATCACAGCCATGGCACAACCACAAGGCCCACATTTGAAGCACTTCGTAGCTTGTAGGCGACCAGGTGCACCAGGTTCAAGGCACCTGGCGCCAAGATTTTCCAGATCTACAATTGGTGGATGTTCCAGATCAATAACTGGAAAGTAGATATATATATATATACACGCCATTAGTGTATAGAGATTATATATTTCCAGATATATACGTATATATATATAGAGATTCCATTCATCTTGGTAGGCACCCCATTTTTTGGTCCTTGGTGATCCAACTTAATCTACATGGATCCATCTGTAAATTAACGCTTGGCAACGAGAATATAAACTGGCGGCAGGGTACAAAAAAGGGTGCAGTTCGCGTTACCTAAAAAGTGTATATCTATATGGGATTTTGACCTCCATAATGTTGGGATATAGTCCCTACAAACTATGCTTACTTTATGTTATGTTTACCCGGTTTACCCACTAAGAAAGTGGAACTGCGCACCCCAAGTGGTGGAAATTGACCGTCATCAAAACTATATATAAAAGTCACCATAAACTCACCATTTCCTATTTGGAGTCAAGAAATTCCACTGATCCACTGGCCTAGAACCAGGGCCAATAACTTCATTGTGACGCCCAATTTAATGGTCGCCCTGAACAAAAAATTGAGCCAAGGTCAGCCAGAAATGCAGCAATTAAGATGTAATTGATGTGCTAGAATTTTCCATCAAAATTCAACAACTGTACCGGAACTACATGGAAAGTTCTGGAAAGTTCCAATCCATCAAACAAAACACGCCGAAAAAATCGATCAGCTTTGCCACTTTTGGCTCTGCGCGTCATCTGCGCCTACACAGCCCTGCCACTGGCACAACCGTCGAGTCGTTAGCTGATGATCTGTCCCGGATCTCTGGTGCATCACATGGTGAAACAACGATTTTTTCACGCGGTTGAAATACATTGCGTTACACAGGTAGACCCCTGGTAAATTTGGAGAAACCACCAAAATCATTTTCCAAAACCACATTCGGAGTTCGATTTTGATTCTTATGAGGTTTCACAGGTTTCACAGATGACCTGCACCCGTTCCGCTTTGGGGCCAGCATACATTTGTTGCATCGGCCCGGGTCCATCAATTGCTTTCAGGGCAAAAGGTTGCCACAGTCATAATGATCTCCTGCCAAAAGTCACGTCTGTCACGTCCAGGAAATGGTTTTGTATCCTCCAATATCCTCCAATCATTCAGGTTTATCAATACTTGGCGTCTAACAAACCAATGGTGTATCATCATTTTCACCCAAATTGCAATAAATTAGGAGGAACTCTCAATTTTTCAACAAACCCATATCGCGTTGGTGGATACATGCCCATTAATTACACAATATATCCCGCTGCATCCCCATTCTATCACAAACTGTAATCTCACTATATCATACTCTATCGCCATTATAACCCCATTGTGGTTGGGTTTTATATAGTAATAGTAGTTCTATACCCCAGATGTCTCAAAAAAAAACATCCCGCGAACGAAGCCCAGAGTTGTCCTGTTGCTTCTCCGTAGCACGAACGAATCGTTCGTTCTTTTGAAGAGTTGGCGCCTGAGATTTTAGCTACATGGTCTTGCCACAGCTGATATTTGGGAAGGTCAAACCACCAAAAAAAAACAACAAATAAAAAAACGTAAAAATTGATAATTCTGCAATAGACACCATGCATGTACAGTATGTGTATACATAAAATATGTATGCTATAATATACATTTTAGATACATGATATATATATAATATAATATGATATTATAAAATATAATATAATATAATATAATATAATATATGATATGATATAATATATACTATGATATAACATAACATAACATAATATGATATGATATATGATATAATACAATATGTAATATGATATAACATAACATAACATAATATGATATAATATAATATAATATATAATATAACATAACATAATATAATATATGTGATATATCATATGAACACACAATTTGGTATGAATAGCTATGCACTCCTGGCCACCATACACTGACAAGTTCAGTTCTCATTCCTTTTAGGGTTTCTGCCACCTGTCTGCCAGTGCACTCCTCGTTGTCTGAAGTGCCGAAACCATGCCAAAACCCTTACAATCTTTAACGAATCTAAATCAAACCAATTCTAGAGTGGCTCCGCTCATCTTCATATCTTCATTTGTGGTGCTTCATAAATGAATAAATTCTCCATGGACGGTTTATCATATTTTATCATCTATATCCAATCTGGATAGACATTTTCGTAACCAAACGTAATTCACCATCATAGAATCATTCCAGTGATGCGCCGTGAGGTCGCCGATTTTTCATCCAATCGAAAATACAGAAATAGAGTTTAAACATGTTTAAACATGGTTAATCTCTTAATATCTCCCATGAATCATCATTAATCCATTTTTTCTGTTGTCATTCAGATCTAATATCAACATGTATTAACCATCCGTGTTTTCCCGGCAGAAAAGCTCCAGGTTTCCACACATTCTGGAGACCAGCCATAGTCATCTCCTCTGGAGAGCAGCCGTACCTTTCAAAGGTTGGTGGTGCAATAACCATCCTGAAAAATGATGGAGTTCGTCAATGGGAAGGATTATATATCCCATATATGAAATGATATGAAATGGAAAGTTATAAAAATCTATCATAAAATATGACAAACAGTGTATGCCGGTGTAAGTGTGTCAACATAGTTAATATTCTCATCGGTTTCCATAATCTACCCAGATGTGTCAAAATAGGATACAAACAAGTTTCAAGTTCAACTGCGTTCACAACATCTGAAAATAGGATAACCCCAATTCCAATTGATTATCATCATGTTTCCTATTGAAAAATACCCATTTTGGGGGATACCCTATTTTCAGTCACCCCTAAATTAGAATTAAGTTGCGTGTACAGTTCATGAAAAATCACCAGAAAACGTTCCTATTCCAAATGGTTCGTTTAGTCCACACTAATAGATTATATCTAATGATATTATATTATATATATATGTACTATTTTCCCATATGTTCCATATACTGACATAGACAGATGTGGTTAAAACCCACGGTGTCCCATTCGCAGAATGATCTACAAAATTTTTAGGTTCTCCACATCTTTCCAGCAGGAGGGATTAGTTATGTATATGCCACCAAAAACACCCTCGGACATTCCCATGATTTAATAGGATTCAATCCCATTCATATCCCCGATATATTCCCAAGAAATTCTGGGTAAAACAATGCCATGTTTACCATCCCCCAGTCACTATTTTTGCTGGCATTCCCATACTATTCCCATTCCCAAATGCTTGGTTTACTATGGTTTTACCGTCAGTTTTCATCCATTTTACTAGGATTTTCCACTAACAATTTGGGGGTCAGGAAAGCCATGGAAACCCCCAGTGATCACACCTTCTCTCGACGGATGCAGAGGCCAAGGCTTGGACCTCGCGGTTGCTTTTTGGGAGATGACTTTGGAGAATGGCTAGTGAATGACAAATATTCTATGATATTCTATGTCAAAAGTATGGATGACATATATATATATATGCTATGTGATAGTATATATATATATATATGCTATGGTTATATATAGATTCACAAAATTTCATATGATTTCAAATGCAATACGTAATGTAGAATATACTGCAAACTGCAAATAATGTAACCATGCGATATTTTAATGATAATATAACCATATTATTATATACAACATAATGCACATATGAATGTTGTGATGCACATGACAGGCAGGATGTGACTCTAAGGCATCACTCTGGGTGCTTGACCTGGGAGCTATGGCAGCTGTGGTAAATTTGAGTGAAACAAAAGTGACATGTTTAAAAAATGTGGTAAATCAAAAAATGTGGTAAATCATCAAACTAAATGGACTATCTATACCCAATAGCTTCGTTGAATTGCCTCTACTCTACCGGGTAGGTGGTGTCAGCACCCTTCCAATGGTGAAATTGGGATAAATGACAATAAATGACATAAATGACATAAATGCTTAACTGTGTATTGCTTTTGACATTGGCAAACACCCAGCTGGCTGCAGTAGCTTCCTTCATCCCGGGATCATGGGCACCTCTGTATATCCTTTCGAAAAAAGGGAGGCCCAAATCCAGACATAATCCACCAATCAAACCCACATCCTACTCGCAAAGACGCCGCGAGGATGTCAAGAATGGGAATTTTTATCCGGTTGGTGATCTTGTGCATACCTTGAGTTCTCCACCTCGTACCATTCACCTCCCAATATCTTGGGTGTTGGGTGTTGGCCCAATGAACCTTCCCTGTCCACTAACAATCCACTGTATTCCCCACCTTGAGCAGATGACATCACCCTCAGCCCGATCTGAGCCTCACACCATCTGCATGGCTATGTCTGCCTTCCAAGCTTTGGACGAGGCCTAGGCAGGGCACATCATTTTCCCACTGAGGGGTAGCATATTCACAAACAAGGCCACCTGTTGGTGAAATTAATGAACTGTTCGAAGCAGCAATGGGTTCAAAAACCTAGATCAGGAGATATCAGGAGGAACCCTCATGTTCTGACCATACAGTGAAGCCTTGAAACACAACCGAGGCAACACAGGAAAACCAAAAAAAAAAACATCATAAAATGAATTTGATGTTGACACTCGGGCATTTTTGAGGGGGAACAGCATTTTTAAGGATCAAAGTGGCTGGTTTTTCAATGGTTTCCCACAATGCGCTGGGAAAGAAACCATCGTTTTTTAAAAACACCAGTGACACAACTCCAGCCTTGGCGGCCTCTCGACATGCTTCACAAAGGCGTTTCATCTCATCCACCATCAGCTCCTTGTGGGAAAAACCACGTTTTTTCATGTGGAACCTCGAGTCTGAGCCGCAAAGATATGTGGCCCTATCCCATCTCATTATACTAGTATAACGCCTTATAATAACCAATCAACAAGGCTATTCTTCATGCATCATCTGATGGAACGGGCATTAAACTGATTAAACCAATGTGGTTAACCACAATTTGTGTGGGCGAGATTCACGGGTTTTTTTGTCATTAACTCAACCCAATTTGGGGTATCAAAATGAGCCCCCAAAATGCACATCGGAAATGTGCCAGTGGACCGGAGAAGTCCCCATTTCTTGCCAACATGAGGATTCAGCCAGCAACAAAGGTGTCAACAAAATCCGATGGCCTGGATATCCTGGAGTTTTTTTAGGGCGACTGTTGGGACTAAAACTACGATCAACCACTTAGCCCCACCGCTTCCATATCGTTCGATAATGTTTGTTCAAACACATTGACGTTCGATGAAGAAAAAACGATATACAATGATATACATTTCTCAACACATCTGGAAAACCCCTGACCACATCCCACCACGACAAATTATCCTGCATCTCTACGATCTCTGATGGTTTGATTTTTTTGCCCTTTTTGTCGGTCTTGTCCTGTCACCAGCGGAGTGTGTTTCTTCCGGAAATAGCTCTGATCCCAGTTGATTTACAGAAAATTCTATCATGGATGATCCTTATCCCGTTATCCCAAATTCAAACAGGTAGTATATAGGTAGTATATCTCTGTATGAGCATCCTTCAAAATCATTAAGTTTCATGTTTCAGCATACTGAAAAAAATGTTACCACCAAGGTTGTGGACCGGCACCACCAGGGTATTGTCTTCCCTTGCTGGGTTTGCTTAATATTAAGAGGGTAGGATTAACCGGTTCCTAACCATTGAGCATCACAAAATCAAACAGTATGGGAAGTGATTTTGTGACTGGGATGGGGTATGACGCCACGCATTCCAAGATCATTCCTAATCTTGGTTACTCTCTCTATGCTTGTTTAGCTGCTTACGAAACGTATCCCCATGATGTTCACAAAAGATTAAAGTCCGTAGTTCCTACAAGGTGGTGGTCGTTAGCATACCTATACAAGTCAAAATACCTATACATAATTCGTGTATAATTCATGTATAATTCATGTTAAACTTGCGATTATATAATTTGAATTCAATGGGTTACTGTCAGCCACCTATAATTACAATGGGTTATTGTCAGCACAATTCATGGTGGCACAATTCAATGGTTTTGTCATACACCAGCCACCTAGGAATCACACCATGCCTCCGGCGGAGAGGAAGCTGTAGCACCACCAGACTTCATCAACGACTGAACCGAGGCGGCCCTTAGCCATGAGGATCGCCATGATGTGCCCAGAAGCATAGAGCAATATATATATATACATATACGTGTATATATTTATATTATATTATATTATATATTATATTATATTATATTATATTATATATATATTATATTATATATATATTATTATATATTATTATATATATTATATTATATTATATTATATTATATTTATTTAATTATTATATGATATATATATATATTATTATATATATATATTATATTATATATATATATATCTATATATTAGATATATTATATATATATATATTATATTATATTATAAATAATATTATATATATATATTTTAATATATATGTGAATTATACTAGACATATGCTTTTAAAAAACATGTTAGATTTTTTTGGGGGGTTCCTCACATTCCCGATTTGATTTTCATGTGTTTCTCCGAAACCAACATCTACAAAGGAAAATAATGCTTAGAAAACCAGCACGTCTCCATGTTTTCCATACATCCAAAACCATCTCCATCCATCCTCAATCAATTCAACCTCAAACCTGCGACTCAAGTCTTTAGTTGCATTTCATTCTAGGCATTCACATATATTCACTTTTCAGATTTGTCACATTATTATACATTATATATATATGTATTTATATAGATATATATACACACTATCTTTTTCCCGCAGTTGGATTCAGCATCCATCCAAAGCAATTTTCATGACCCTTTGAGTTCACTGATTGAAGTTCTCAACAGCTTACTCCCCCCCCCAAAAAAACAATAGACTTCTAATAAGCCTCTAATAAAGCCATAAAAAAGGAAAAAACTCACCAAACTTCAAATCAAGCCGTAAACAAATGCAAAACATGGCCAAACTGCATATTAACTATTAACTATATATTAACACAGCATATCAACTATATATGGTTACCATCTATTTTCACCATCCCATCTTTCCCATCCTTCCCAGCCGAGGTGCATCATGAGACTGTTCTCCACCCCAGCCTTGGTCCACCAGTGTTGCACCTCCGCATCCTCCCGGTACTCGTCGTAGCAGAGCTGCAACTCCACCGGGCTCATGTCCTGAAAAAACTCCGAGAGTCAGATCGTCTTCCTTTTTTTGGGTGAACCAATACAGTCCCAGCACTGTATAAGAATTCCTTGTAGAAAATCAGGGGCTGGATTTGTTTCCAGATGTTTTGTGGATATGGAAATGGAAATGGGAATTAAGAAATTCAGGGACCCTGGAATCTTCAAGCCTAAGATTTGGATGTGTGCGAAGAAATTGATGGGCACAAGAGCAGGGTGAGGCGCAGAAAAACAGTTCGGGCTCTGGAAAAACAAACAAACAACCTCTTGCATGGCTAAGAAATTGAGGGACCTTCGACTGATTAAATACACATACATACTGAAATACATGGGCCCTTTCCGTTAAGAAATTAAGGGACCCTGGCCATCGGCGACCAACATTCTTATATAGCGCTCGCGCTGTAATAGATATAGAGATGTAGATGTAGATGTGGATATATGATATAGATACAGATGTAGATGTAGATGTAGATACAGATGTAGATGTAGATGTAGATGCAGATATGTAAATATATATATATATGTTATCATAGGAATATAAAGGTCAATTATGAATCATAGTGGGGATATGTAGTCAATCTTTTGACCATAGCACATGTATAGGATGGGACACATGATGTGTTTATATGCATGTTTATCTGCATATATATATATATATCATATCAGAATTTGAATATTGCAGACAGAATTTATCTAATATGTCAGACATATACCTTGCTAAAACGGGTGTTCACAAGGTGCTTTTGATCCGTTTCTCTCCCAGTTTTGGCCAAGTCCCTGTCCTCCAGCCCCTCCTTTCCTGCTGGGGTGGAGGTATTGAAGTCCTGCCAGCTGACAAGTCATCTGCTGCTGGGAACCATCTTCAGCTGGAGAATTTCAACAGCAACAACTGTGTTGGTACGGATCACCGTGTTCACCATTTTGGATAGTCAAAAATATGTCAAAATATCACAAGATCATTTCTGCCTCAATATCCGTAGCGTTTGAACTTCTGGTGACGTTCATCCAGACGTTTCGGCCAGTCCTCAAAACGCCTGTAGGCTTCAGCGGCACTGCAGTTCTTGGCCTCGGCAGAGTGTTTATGTGATGTGCATCAATTTAGAAACATGAAAAAACAAAACAATTTTGGGATATGTATATATATATAACTATGTATAAAAATATGTGTAACTATACATATATAACTATATATATGTATATAACTATATATATAACTATAAAACAAATAACTATATATATAACTATATATATATATAACTATATATATAACTAAATATAACTATATATATTCATATAACTATATATATAACTATATATATATAACTATATATATATATAACTCTATATACATAACTATATATATAACTATATATATAACTAAATATAACTATATATATTCATATAACTATATATATAACTATATATATAACTATATATATATAACTCTATATACATAACTATATATAACTATATATATAACTATATATAAATAACTATGTATATAACTATATATATATAACTCTATATATATATAACTATATATATGTATACATATACATATATATAAATATATATAACGATAATACTATGTATGTATATATATATATGATTACAACAAATCAAATATACAGTATTTGATATAAATGGTGTATTTATATCCGTCTCTGTGTGTGTAAGTGACCACGGATGAGGTACAAGCAACATTTAAATAGCTTATGTAAGCGAACACCACATGGCTGTTGAGAAACATGTTGATCTGAGTGCCGCACCCGGTAGTCTTCATAGACTTTCTTGGCAAAATCCTGGGAAAGCTGCTGATGAACAATTCCTCCAGTGGGTGCAATGTCACAAAATTCCACCTGAAATGGGGCCCATTTCATGATCTTTTGCAATACTTTCCAGCGTTTCGATCATGTATCAAACAAACATGAGAAGGGTGCGCGAGGCTGTGCAAACCTCATGTTCATTTCTAGATGTAACGATATTCTTGTCCCCCAAAAGTAGAAATTTCCCATGTTGACGGGGCCTGAGGGTCAGGGCACCGGACCTTGGCTTTCTGCGAATGCTCCGCCATGGTGCGTAGAGCTTCCAGGAAATCCGCCTGTTTTTTTCCCCGAGGTTACCCTGGGATCGTCCCAAATCTGGAACAAAAAGCTGGGAAAACTGGGGCAATTGAAGCATCGGTCAAGGTATGTCGAGGTATACAAGAATGAAACTAGAGAATGGAATGCAATGGATCTTGTGGAATGGAGGTTTTTATATTATATATTATTATATAATATATCATAATATGTATATATATATATATATGTATGTATGTTAATATTCTATATTGTAATATGTATATATATATATATTTAAAAGAAAACATGTGATAACCATTGTTTGGGCTATTGTTCAGATCTTCCACTCATACCCTGCAGCTTGGGTGACTGATGGATTTTGAGACCCAAACACCAGCCACGGATTCAGAAGTTGCTTCCATAGAATTCCAGGTGATCATAAAATCATACTGCAATCAATCAGGGGTCCCAAAAACAGAGATGATCAGGGTGGATAAGCTATGATTCTCTATGATTCGATGCTAGATACGGATGCGAAAGATGCGAAATCGAAATCCTGCAGTTGATAGGTGGTTAACATCCCAAATTTACCGAGATCCAGCAGTAAAAACAGGCTTTCGATCCCACTATCTATCAACCATCCCACCAGTTTCGGTTGATAGGTGGTTAACATCCCAAATTGGAGATGGTGGAGCAGCAATTTGGGATGGTTAAATCCCAGCACTTTACATTTGGGATGGTCAAAACCCTGTATTTTGGGTGGTTTTTACATCCCACTATCCCAGCTCCACTATCAACAGATTACAATAGGTGGTTAAGATCCCAAATTGGAGATGGTGGAGCAGCAATTTGGGATGGTTAAATCCCAGCACTTTACATTTGGGATGGTCAAAACCCTGTATTTTGGGTGGTTTTTACATCCCACTATCCCAGCTCCACTATCAACAGATTACAATAGGTGGTTAAGATCCCAAATTGGAGATGGTGGAGCAGCAATTTGGGATGGTTAAATCCCAGCACTTTACATTTGGGATGGTCAAAACCCTGTATTTTGGGTGGTTTTTACATCCCACTATCCCAGCTCCACTATCAACAGATTACAATAGGTGGTTAAGATCCCAAATTGGAGATGGTGGAGCAGCAATTTGGGATGGTTAAATCCCAGCACTTTACATTTGGGATGGTCAAAACCCTGTATTTTGGGTGGTTTTTACATCCCACTATCCCAGCTCCACTATCAACAGATTACAATAGGTGGTTAAGATCCCAAATTGGAGATGGTGGAGCAGCAATTTGGGATGGTTAAATCCCAGCACTTTACATTTGGGATGGTCAAAACCCTGTATTTTGGGTGGTTTTTACATCCCACTATCCCAGCTCCACTATCAACAGATTACAATAGGTGGTTAAGATCCCAAATTGGAGATGGTGGAGCAGCAATTTGGGATGGTTAAATCCCAGCACTTTACATTTGGGATGGTCAAAACCCTGTATTTTGGGTGGTTTTTACATCCCACTATCCCAGCTCCACTATCAACAGATTACAATAGGTGGTTAAGATCCCAAATTGGAGATGGTGGAGCAGCAATTTGGGATGGTTAAATCCCAGCACTTTACATTTGGGATGGTCAAAACCCTGTATTTTGGGTGGTTTTTACATCCCACTATCCCAGCTCCACTATCAACAGATTACAATAGGTGGTTAAGATCCCAAATTGGAGATGGTGGAGCAGCAATTTGGGATGGTTAAATCCCAGCACTTTACATTTGGGATGGTCAAAACCCTGTATTTTGGGTGGTTTTTACATCCCACTATCCCAGCTCCACTATCAACAGATTACAATAGGTGGTTAAGATCCCAAATTGGAGATGGTGGAGCAGCAATTTGGATGGTCAAAACCCTGTATTTTGGGTGGTTTTTACATCCCACTATCCCAGCTCCACTATCAACAGATTACAATAGGTGGTTAAGATCCCAAATTGGAGATGGTGGAGCAGCAATTTGGGATGGTTAAATCCCAGCACTTTACATTTGGGATGGTCAAAACCCTGTATTTTGGGTGGTTTTTACATCCCACTATCCCAGCTCCACTATCAACAGATTACAATAGGTGGTTAAGATCCCAAATTGGAGATGGTGGAGCAGCAATTTGGGATGGTTAAATCCCAGCACTTTACATTTGGGATGGTCAAAACCCTGTATTTTGGGTGGTTTTTACATCCCACTATCCCAGCTCCACTATCAACAGATTACAATAGGTGGTTAAGATCCCAAATTGGAGATGGTGGAGCAGCAATTTGGGATGGTTAAATCCCAGCACTTTACATTTGGGATGGTCAAAACCCTGTATTTTGGGTGGTTTTTACATCCCACTATCCCAGCTCCACTATCAACAGATTACAATAGGTGGTTAAGATCCCAAATTGGAGATGGTGGAGCAGCAATTTGGGATGGTTAAATCCCAGCACTTTACATTTGGGATGGTCAAAACCCTGTATTTTGGGTGGTTTTTACATCCCACTATCCCAGCAGTTTAGTCCTGGTTTTAACCATCCCAAATTGCTTCTCCACCAGGACTCCACCGGCTGCGGAAAACCAGAACGGTGACCTTTTCGGGCCGCGGCTGCGCTGACCCGGTGAGATGCCTAGGGGGCCGCTTCAGTAGCCTAAAATAGACGCATTTGCAATCAGATATGACATGACATGACATATATAGATATGTATACTATATATATGCTATATATATACTATATATATATATGATTATATATATATGTGACATATATATATTATGTATATATGACATGACATCACTTGAAGCGACTCCTTCTCCGGACTGTTTTTCATGTCGCTACATTCACAAACTCAACTCACTGGAATGGGATTTCATGAGGCTCTGACTGCATCATGCTGGCAAGCTGCTCGGTGCATCTGGCAAACCTGGGTTGCTTCAAGCCATGTGGAGCAAAACATTGGGTTTCAGCGTCAGAAAAATATGATACATAGATATACATAGATCATAGATGCATATGATATGTATATCTAAGTAGTATGATGTAATATGTATAGATATGACTGGTTGGACCTGAGACTTCCCACCAATTCTTGGAACCACCAATGTCTGCAATTGCGGCAATTACGGCAAAAAAAAACAATGCATCGAAATCCACCGAAAACCTGTGAATACAGACAAGAAGAAGAAAACCAACAAAAAAAATGGATTCATGTGGAAATCCAGTGGAACAGTTTCACGTGGTATCCGCAATAAAGGCCACGAACTGGTCTGAGCTTCCGTGCTCTGGATGATTTCCCAAGACATCTTCATGCCTCAGTGCAATGCTGGCTGGCTATAGGACCCCCCCCAAAAAAAAATAGAAAAGTTTCTATAGCCAAGTCTGATTACCTATGTTTTTTGCGCCTTGATGTGGTTTCACGAAGACCAACAGCTGAGAGTAGGACCAAATGACAGCCTCACTGATGCTATCCGACACTTTGATCAGCCGAGAGCTTCCTAAACACTCGAATTCGTTCTTGCTTAATCATATACATCATATACCAAAGATGTTTGGATTCAAACATTAGTAATTTGTATTAATTAAAGTTTATTTAAAGTCAGATTCACAGCCTCTCATCTCCATGCTACTGCAATTTCAATCGCCATGTCATGCTCACGCTGGTCCGCCAGCCTGCTCCACGTCTTCACAGTGGACACCCAGCTGTTCAACCGCAATGGAGACCTGGGGCAAAATCTGCAGACTTTCATCCTATGATTTGAATGATCCAAAATGCTAGGGCCTGGATCACGATTCAAAGATCAGTCCTGGGAGTCCTGGATGTTGGATTCAAATGATTCATTTGTTGTCTTTGAAATCAACTCATATTATTCATCTCCCAAAGCTGACGTTCCTTTGGAGATGGACTGGGTGGGTGATCTTCGAGGCGTTGAGTTGGAACATGTTTTGCTTCGGTCTTCAATATCCATTTATCTCAACGGCATCTTGGAATCTCAGGCTGATTCACATTTATATAGGGACTCTTCATTTACCCTCTGGTAAACATACAAAAAACTATGGAAAATCACCATTTTTAATGGGAAAACTAACTATAAATGGCCATTTTCAATAGCTATGTTAGTTTACCAGAGGGTATTTACCATATGGCTGCTCCCGCTCTGACCAGTCATCACCACCCCAAGGCTCCCCAAGTGTCCTGAAAATCTGCGCTTTTTTCGCAGTGCTGGTGGATTTCTATCGCAGAATCCCCGATTCAAAAAAAAAAACAGGGTTGCAAAAACGTCCCGTTCAATCATAACCTAAGTATTTGGAACATTTCCAAAAATGATCCAAGGGCAACATTGAAAATCCCAGATTCTGGGTGTTGGTCAAGTGATAGAGATGCAAACGGTCACACCAAAATTTATTGCCCCTACAATCAACTGCTTAATCAAAACTTGTCCATGAAAATCCATCAAGATCCCCCGGAAACAGTGACCTTCTTCCACTTTTGCCCAGTGTGTGAGCGGTTATATTCGGGATATCCCATACCATGGCCATCTGATTCCCATTTATCCCAATTCTTCAAGCCATTCGTTTCAGCAGGCGACCAGAAGTTCAGCAGTCGTTTCGCAAGCCTGAAACACATCGAGAATCCCAGAGAACTTGGAGAATCTTGGGATTTCATCAGCCATCAGGGAATTCACTGGTTTTTTTCGCATGTTTTGTTCAACACATCGAGAAAGCGTGGAATTCAAACAGCAAATGGGCACGGCTAAGAGTTCCCAGAAAACCAGCTGGAATACGGTCAGCCATATGGAATATTAGCTGGAATCACATCTTGAATTACCCACCATCAAAATGGATGGTCTGCATTCAGTCGCTATGAGAAAGCCTGTCAACTTGTCTAAAGACAATCAAAACCTACCTGTCATCGTCCAACTTTTTCAGAAATTGATCGATCCAATAGACTATAGCTGGGGATAAACCAAATCCTGCGCGAGTTTGTATCAAGATTGTTCATGACTCCAACATGCTCTGTACTGTTTTGGCAAATTCCATGCATTCATGGCTATCTTACCTACCCTGCAAATTCCAGCATGTAGTGTTTACCATTGTTTACCTGGATCTTGTATCAAATATCATCAGTTGTGGCAGAACATCGACATCATCCACATCCCAACGAGGACTCGATTGTGTCTAGAGTTCATCCCGTTTCTAATCCATCCACATCCATCTGGGTAAATTATAATATGTCATTAACCTGAATAGTTGGGCCATTTGGGGATGATTTCCCGTATTAACTATGATTCCAGTGAGGTCGTTACATGACTCTCCGGTGAAAAATGGGAAATGTCCAAACTACCTGGAGGTGTCTCGCAATATCTCGCAATCATCGCCCGCCTTGTGGCTAAAGCTTCTCCTTGTCTCCTGATCTCTGAAATTCAACATATATATATATATATATATATATCAGGTATATCATACATCATACATCAATGTTGATGGATGTTGATGGGATATGAATGGAATATCTCTAAATTTTTAGCGATCCATATTTTTTAGATAGTCTCTAAGTTTGGATCCCCCAAGGCTCCAACATTGGGGAAAATTCGTGGTTTTTCACCATGGCCATGAAGACACAGATGTTCCCAATTTGGGAACACATCTTGACCTGGTCGAATCTGGCTTCGGCCCTGGAGCCGGGCTTCCGCCCGCGCCCAAAAAATATTTTCTGGGGAAAACCTCACGGATCCGCGGTCCTGATCAAGTACCAAGAACTCGGCTAAGACTTTTTGCATTCGGGCCTTGGCGAAGCTACAGCTTTGGGGCCCAGGGAAACCTGATGTCGCCTGGAAATACATGGCAAAGTGTCCCATGGGAATCGATTGGAAAAAATCCATGAACTCGAGAAGTTATGACACCTTCGGATCAATTTTGGCCGCTACAAAGCCACAACGCTTAGATCCAATGCTGATATCGCCCAAGAGACGACCATAAATTGGTGGATCTCAATGATTTTCTCCACGGAGATGCCTGGAACTCCATCACTTTGGCTTTCGAAAATGGAGGATGCGAATAAAATATACTATTGTAATACTATATAATATAAAATAGCAATGTTGAATGGAACATGTAATTTAGATATGATTGACGATTTAACTTATGAAATTCTTGGGTGAACTCAATTCTCAAACAATACCAAATTCAAAAGCCCCAATAACAGTCATCAGCAGTGAGGCTGACACTGCATCCATATGTCACGCTTGTGGGTTATGTATCCGACCCGGTCCCCCCAACAAAATGGAGACGGACAGGCAATGCTCACCATTTACTCCCACTGTTCTAGGTACCCGTGCGGGCCTTGGGTTTCAAACTGTTTAAAGACTAGGAATGATTCCACTAACATCTACAAACCATGCCGGGGTTCTCACATTCCATCGTGTTTGCGTCGTAGAATGACCAAGTGCTCATGGATTTTAATGAATATTTGCACTGTTTGGACAGTTCTTTCCTTATTGAGACGGTGACATGAATGATTCCCCACTTTCCTTTGGCAGCAAATTCCATAACACTATCTCATTTGGTATTGGGGACAATAGAATGCGGGTGTCTTAATATGAACGGGGTATGGGATCATGTTTGATAGTTGATCATAATTACAAATACAAAAAACTGTTGGGCCATTATAATTTCCCCACGGGTTTCGTGATAATATACATGATAAATCATGATAATATCCCAACAGTGGCAGTTGAAGTAATGATTTACGTGCATCACATCCGACTATCTCACCTATTTTTTTTTGACATGTACACAATTACTCTATACAATACTATACATCAATTCTCAGAATCTCATATGACATCATTATATATCATTATTACATAATATTACATAATCATCGATATCAAAAATCATAAGGTGTCCAGTTGTCGTAGGGCTACCCCCAGTTATCATCCCACAGGCCCCATTGGGCCATCCGATGGGCCATCCGATGGGCCCCCTGACAGCGCGCGCGGGTCACGTCCCCTTTGGGCTCTGGATGGAGGAGTAGCTGAGCCTTTGCAGCCACCTCGGAAACACAGCTTCATGGGCAAAAACCGGGTGAAACCTTGGGCTTCAGTCTGCTTCAATCGATCAAATATATTGGGTGCGAAGCAAAATGATTGGACACCAAGAGTGGATGGTACCTTTTCATCCAAATCCAGTGATAAATCCAATAGTAAGCAGCCATTTGGGCACTCATGCAATCCACACGCTGGTAAATTCAACGATGTTTTATTTCACAAGTTTTTACCACGTTAAATCCTCAAGGCAGAATTTGGACATCATAAAATTGTGTCTTGGATGTACATGATCTTGGATATCTTATTGTCTTATTGTTGGATCTATTGGATTTTCTTGTGGTTCAGCATGAAAATGTGACATTCACGGCATCAATAGCTGTCGACCTCCTCATCTTCCTCGTACCTGGTCGAGCTTCTGGGCTTCTGAGAGTTGGACCCCGTCAACACTGAGCCATAGCAATAGCAACAGTTCGACTACACACGAACAAAAAGGATCATGTTCGATGATTTTTTTCGACTTGTTTCCTGGTCTGGGACTGTTTTCTTGCTACTGAAAAATCATTTTGGTGCTAACATCTCCAATTTGGACGGTATTTGTCGCATTTTGTACGTTGAATCTCTTGTGAGCTGAAATCGTTTGTTTGCGTGTTGTCTGTTGTTGGAGCTACAGTCAGGAATTTGCACGGCATGTGCTACACGTTGAAAGTTAACTACGCCTGAACCTTTGATGGTTGCTGCATAATGTTTGTACGTAGCGGTAGCCTTTTTTTGCAACTGGCCATGTCGCGGCAATTTGGGCTATGCTCCTGGTTTTGTTCGTTGATATGGAGAACTTGATCTGTCTGCACGGCATTTGCAGCGTTTTCTCACACAAAAAATCTTCGGGACGGATTTTCGCTCGCAAAATCATTGAGGGATACACACTTCTATAGGCTTATTTTGGGAGGGTGTAGTTGATGAGTATTTCGGGTTTCCATAGCGGTTCCTTTAGTTTAGGATTTGGTTGCTTCAGGTTTTTTGGGTTTGTTTTGAGCTTATTTTCGGTTCGTTTAGCGTTTATTTGGAAATTGTTTCGGGTTTAGTTCGTTCAGGGTTTATGTAGGGTTGGTTTAGTGATTGATTCAGTGTTTTTGAGGTTTGTTTGAAAGTTTTACGTTGTGTTCAGGGCTTTGGTCTATGGTTCGAAAACAAGTACCGAGAATGTCTTCAAAACATGGTTCAAAAGGTGGATTTGTCACAGTATGTAAGCGCAATGTCCATAATCTGGTAGCAGCACTTGAGAATGGAGAGGTGGAGCTATCTTTGTGCAGCAAGGGTTTATCTTGTAATACTGTTTGTCTTTCCTGTCCTTGTGGCATCCCCTTGTGAGCCGTGTCCTTCTTCTAAGCTTTCTTCTCACTGTAGTTTCTGAAGAAGTCAAGAAGCCAAAGCAGCCAAAAGCAGCGCTTCAGAGACTAAATCTATCATTTCTATTGTCTGCAGGAATTTGGACTTTGAATCTCTGATTTCCACCCTACTTGAAATTTCTTGTTTTTTTCTAGCAGCTAAGGAGCTAACTGAGCTGCTTTAAAATGATTGCGTGGCAGGTGCATGCTTTGGGATGGAGATAAAGCATAAATTTCAAGGGGGGGTATTGGGGCGGAACAGATTGCGCCCTGTTGATTTGCAAAATGTCTGCGGCATATCGCAGGTTGGATCTCTGATTCAAATGGTATTTGCAGCATTTTGGTGCTGAAGTGTCATGCTGGTATTTGCAACACTTTGGCCTAAAACTATTCTCTTGCTTTTGCTGTATGATGTTGGATCTTGTTGTTCTTGATATTGTTGTTCTTTTTTGATTCCTTCTAATGTTACCCTTGTTGTCTGCACAATAGTCGCAACACATTGCCAAGACACAAAACAAGAAACCAAAAACCAAGAAACCCAGGACACAAAAAGAAGAAAAGCACCCTCAGACCAATTTAAAACAAAATCCAATGAATCATTAGACAAACAATAGACAAACCACATTTAAAAAGAAATAGGAGCAACAAAAAACGTCCAAGACCTTCCAACAAGGACAGCAAATTCATGCACGTTGGCCCAAGCATGTGTATGCATGTGACGAGGATCAACATGGAATTCTAAGTACAGCCAAATCCACAGTTATGCATATTATATGCATATAGTAATGAGAAGTATATGGGTAATTTTTCAAACCCGTCCTTTTTCAGTTGTCCCTCAAGAGCTCCTAGCTACACATCCTGAAAAGGCTCACTCTGCCACAAGCTTCTGGAAAGCCTCTTCCGTGAGATTGCGTTCCTGTGGCCAGTCTCTGTAATGGGCTCAACGGCAAATGGATGATTTGCGCTGGTTGTCCTAAACTGAAAAGGAAATCATTGAAGTCCCACGTTTTAGTGAATTAAAGCGAGTAATACCAAGATTTGTTGGCAGCATCCCCCCTCACTTTTGCTGGTTCTACCCGCACCCATCCCTGCTCACAAAGACCAATTTTTCCTGCCAACCGTGAACATACCAAAACACACTCGCCACTGCCACTCTTGTAAAAGTAGCCTCACCTTAAATTGCCTTCAATGTATCTCAGTTTCATCAATTCCATCAATTCTCTATCCCATGCTATTCATTTGAAAGAGAGCACGTGTTTCTGTTTCAAATCATACTACAAACACCAGAAATGGCCAAACTTTCGGTCGCCTCCAACGGATCTCGAGGCAGGTGCAGCTCCTGAAAGGTGGAGCTGGAAAGTTTGGTTCAGGCCACCTCTAAAAAAATGGCTTGGTGATTTACATGATTTATGGTGATTTACTCCCTGTCAAAACACGGCAATGGAAAAACGGAAGTTTCAAGCTGTGAAAAAAAAATCGCACTGATGGATTTTCGACTGCCACGCTTGACTTCAGGGCAATGATGGTGCCCGGCTGCACTTCTGGGCGGAAGTTTCAAAAAACCAAGGGATATAAGACATCAACGGCCTTTAGGAGTGTCTGCTCGTTGTTGCACTGCCAATGAAATGCCATGGAAAAATCAATGCACGAATGACCGTGTGAATGACTGAATGAGTGAGTGAATGAATCATTCAATGAATCAATGAAACAATGAGTGCATCAATGAAAGGATTAACTCATCCACTAATCAATGAATAAATCAACGAATGATATGATTCAGTGACCTAACCCATGAATGAGGGAATCAGCGAATGAGTGAAACGACATGTATTGACACAATTCAAAAAAAAACATGTTGAAACTGCAGAGATGGGGCACCTGATTCGTATACGTCGTATGCATCACATTTCGGGTGAAGACTCAGCGACCATTTTGGTGCCCCATTTCGGTGCCCCATTGAGTGAGTGCTCCAGCCTTGATCTTTCGAAGGGCTTCGGGAATCGGAATGGTTTTTTTCTTCTTTTTCCCCTCAGACTTCTCCTGTACCATGCAACACAACTGGGATTCAATCCTCAACGAGTTTTTTTGAACTGGGTGTCAACTGCTGAAAAGGGGGTTTCTAATATAGTCCCCAACAGTCGGTGGCTTCACACTCCCTCTCCGAGTGATGTTTATGGGCCTGTTAAAATTCACCCAGAAAAACAGAATTCCGTTTTCAAGTATTGCATCTGGGTGACTATCACCATGTTTCTAGCCAAGTACTCCAAGTTGTTGCAAACCATTTTCCACAATCAACCATCCTCAAGGTATGTTTGTCCAATCCCCAGTAGGTTGATGACAATCAACTCTCCTCGTAGAATTGGTTTCTTAAAATGCTGGTACCCCTTTATCGCTGGATGGTTTATCATGGAACATCCTGAGGCAATGAATGATAACTGGTGGTCCCCTCATGAGGAAACCACCAGTGGGACACGCCGCTTGAGGCCAAACCTTGAGTTCCTTGGCCAGATCTCGCGCAAGTTGGCTAATTTCAGCCTGGACAATGCCTGGCAGATCTGGCAAAATCTGCTTGGATTTATGCCCGGAAATTCACATATGTAGATTTCCTAAAATGGTGGTAACCCAAAACCACGGGTTTCGATACTAAAATGTTCTAATGACTTGGATGATTTGGGGTACCCCTATTTTAGGAAACCCCCATATGGAATTTCCACCTCTGAAAAGTCCTTTGCCCCAGGAAAACCCATAGCTTTTCCAAGATCGTTTGCCCCAGGGCCATGCGAATGACCGAAAGTACCCAAATGATTTAAGGCTTTCTCTGACAACGGTGCAACCCTAATTATGTCACAGGATCTTCATGATTCATCATCTTTCTCTTGGGCTATACAGCCCATTTTGGCAAAACCTCGCTTCGATTTGCTTGAGCATAGGTTATGGTCATATTCCTCAAAGTATTTTGGCTTTGAACGAAAAACTGGCGAAAAATTGGGGGACCAGTTGTTGTTCCAAGCAGGGTTGAGAAGATATGACATATGTCTTTCGCTCAAACACAAATGAACATACTTTGGATTTGCTTAAAGCCACTCCGAAACAGAAACAGTTTCACCAAGTTCCAAAATACATTGTACGACCCAATGGTTTGGCTGATGGTTTGTGGGATGTTCTTTTAGGATTCATGATGGTATCGTTGCTGAAATCGTCGGCAAACACGGAAAACTGCATGTTTTTTTTGGTTTAGGTGACCGGATTCGACCGCGACGTATATCAATTGGGTTTGTCAGTCTCAAGACCTATAGTAATCTCTGTTTTAACTGGGAAAATAATAGTAAACGATGGGATTTGCGAAATTTTTTGAGACAACCCCAATTACAAGGGGTTGCATCCTTGTTACTTGCCAAAAAACATTGTTTCGACTAGATCATCCGTTCGATTCTAATTCAACAGCCTTGAACGCGAATGGTCTCATCCAGCAAAGTCAAAATCTCTGCCCTGGTGAAGGATCCTGCTGGGTGCGGAAAGATGATGTCCTCTTTGGTCGTGGGTACCCAGGAGAAAAACACATTGGAGGCGGCTTCAGCGACAACAAAAAACTCCAAAACCGATGGAAATTGACATGGTTCTGTATGATCATGAATGTGCTGGCCAATGGTAGATGTTCTTTAGCGGGACCTATCTGATCTAAATGACCGCTCATCAGTGGCAGTTGAGAATGAAAGTCGAGGCACCACACAATGATATTGGTTGATATTAAGCAGTGGTCGGGCAGTCCGCAGACCCCGGCTGGACGCATTGTGAAGTGTGTTTCTGAGAGTTGTAAGAGTCACAGGTGATCCGTTTCGCAAGGTTTTGGCAGAAGGAGTTTGCGAGTGCGTCAATGATGATGTATGGATTGCCTTGAACGTGATGATGGCCGTAGCCAAGAGAAACGCATGGCTGTCAGATGATTTAGCGCAGTGCAAATCAAGTTGCTCACTTTGCTGTTTGATGCTGTTTGCAGCCGCGAGAACTAATCCCTTTCCCCTAATACTAAACGCCCCCCCTAAATAATAAACACCTCAGGTAGTTTTTATTATTAGGGGGGTATTTATTATTAGGGAACCCTATTAATAAATTTAAAACCTTAATAATAAAAACTATTTTTTCCGAATTCAAAATCAATTAAATTTCCTTATATAACGCAATTAAAATATTGCCAAAATTTGGTTTTCGAAGCAGAGACCCTAATAATAAATTAAACGCCCTAATATAAAAAACTAAAAAAAATCGGACAGACCCTACAGTAATAGTAAACACCTCGCAAATGGTAGCTTTATTTTCAAATTGTTTTCTAAAGGGGATCAATTAAAAGTCAAATTGGCCAACCTGAAATTTCCCAAACTGGGAGATGGACCCTAGTTTTTGATATTTCGGAGGTTTAGTAATAGGGGGAAAGGACTATATAATCATTTTAGGGTCAAGAACTGGAAAGACCGACTCCATCAGAGCCATGGTATCAACTCCCTTGACACATAGGAAGGTCTCATTTCGGATCAGCCTCCTGTTTATAGGGATGGAAAACAACACATTAACATCTTTCAAAACAGTAATCAGTGATTGATATTTCCCATGTTGGATAGGATAATGGGAAAATATCCATATATTGTTGAAGATTATTGTTGAACAAATCCATTTAACTCATAGATCACAGCAAATAAGATGGAATTTCCCCATTTGAAATTCACAATATATAAATATATTCCTTAACATATGTCATATATGTCTATGATGGCAATCCCGTGGTGCTTGCCAGGTCCCTGGAAAGGCTGGGCCATCTTGGAGTTTATATGGTCCAACCCCCCTTGGGGGATATCAATGGGACATTGACAGATATGTTAAGATGTGGTTGATGATTACGATATATTATGATGATGTACAACAATGATGTACAAAATTGATGATTATATTTTATATTATCTTATCTTATATTATATTATATTATCAAAGGAAGTTGGGAAGCAATACTTCCGTGTTACGGACAATTAGAATTCTGCGACGTGAAATGATGCAGGGTGGTAGATCACATAACAATACATAACATAACAATACATAACAAAAGAATAAGGAGCAGTGGAATTGACTTTGATGAAGGGTGGTGATAATGACGGGTGGTGACGAAGGGAAGTGGTGACGAAGGGAAGTGGTGACGAGTGGTGACGAAGGGAAGTGGTGACGAAGGGAAGTGGTGACGATGGGAAGTGGTGACGAAGGGAAGTGATGATGAAGGGGAATGGTGAGGAAGGGAGGTGGGGACGATGGGAAGTGGTGAGGAAGGGAAGTAGTGAGGAAGGGGAGGAAGCCGGAGCACGAAACCGTGTGTTTTTCCGTGTAAAGTGGCTGCAGGCGACGATGAAAGGTACCTCGTGTGTGCGACGGGTGCGGCTGGGGTCGGTTGGTGTTTTTTTTTTGCCGCAGTGTAACGGTGGCTTGAAGCTGCTTTGGGTGTGCTTGTGTGTGCGTAGTCATAGGGTGTTTTGGCATCTCCGGTTGCAGCTCGCATTGGAATGGCTGCATGATGTTGCATCGGCTATGTTTTGGGGAGGAAGCCGGAGCACGAAACCGTGTGTTTTTCCGTGTAAAGTGGCTGCAGGCGACGATGAAAGGTACCTCGTGTGTGCGACGGGTGCGGCTGGGGTCGGTTGGTGTTTTTTTTTTGCCGCAGTGTAACGGTGGCTTGAAGCTGCTTTGGGTGTGCTTCTGTGTGCGTAGTCATAGGGTGTTTTGGCATCTCCGGTTGCAGAACGCATTGGAATGGCTGCATGATGTTGCATGGGCTATGTTTTGGGGAGGAAGCCGGAGCACGAAACCGTGTGTTTTTCCGTGTAAAATGGCTGCAGGCGACGATGAAAGGTACCTCGTGTGTGCGACGGGTGCGGCTGGGGTCGGTTGGTCGTTTTTTTTTGCCGCAGTGTAACGGTGGCTTGAAGCTGCTTTGGGTGTGCTTGTGTGTGCGTAGTTATAGTGTGTTTTGGAATCTCCGGTTGCAGATCGCATTGGAATGGCTGCATGATGTTGCATGGGCTATGTTTTGGGGAGGAAGCCGGAGCACGAAACCGTGGGTTTTTCCGTGTAAAGTGGCTGCAGGCGACGATGAAAGGTACCTCGTGTGTGCGACGGGTGCGGCTGGGGTCGGTGTGGAGTGTGAAGTGTGGATTGGGGAGAGTGCAGTGTGAAGTGAGAAGTGTTGACTGCGAAGGGTGCGGTGTGAAGTGTGAAGACTGTCAAGTGTGAAGTGTGACGTGGGGCTTCAAGTGTGACATGTGAAACACGACATCAGTTTCGCAGAGTGCACGCACGCACGGGCTTGGCTGGCGCACGGCGCATGCAAGTTCTATAGATCAGAAAGGTCTCATATATATCTTTAAGGCAACTTCCGCCCCGCCTCGTGCGGGTACTACTGGTATTATATTATATTATATTATATTATATTATATTATATTATATTATATATTAAATGATATACATTATATATTATATTAGATGCTCAATCTCCCAAAATGATGTACCAAATTGATATATCAGCAAACATTTTTTTGTGCTGCTGCCTGCCGGAATACTGATGAGCTGGATATCTAATGTTGGGGGGATCAAATTGGGGTTCAATATTGGAACATTGGCACTAGAACAGAGTAGTCGAGCCCGTGAGATTTGCGGGATATTCCCATAGCAACATGATAGATTCCGGTGATTTTTGAAATGAAGCCCTAAAGAACCGAACATAACCGAACTAATACTTAAATATTTGTTTTAACAATCCAGGTTTTGTGTTTCCACCCAGTCTGACAACATGACTGAGGCAAAGTGAGTTTCCTCCATTGGTCGTTGCGACCTTCTCTTCTTTGGGGTAGCCTCAGCAAGTGTACTCCGATGGCGTTTTTGTGATGATTGCACAACGATAGATGGCGATCATACTCCTATTGTTTCTTCGTAAGGTCTTGGTCATATCATGATTATATTCAACTTTTTAAATACCCCAATCCCCAGAAACATCCACAAACATCTACAATTACCGAGTGATAGGAGACGGGTGGTAACTTACGCCACAACCTACAATCTTACCCCACCGCATGGCACATCTTACCCCACAACTAAAGAACTTGTGCCATAGCCAAATCACCACGGCACACCGACGCCTATCCATATACGCGCACATTGTTTTCATGAAAATCTTATGCGGACTGCAACGCTTTGTACCGTTTTTATCTGTGATAAACCTGACACAAAGCGTTGTAAACCGCATGGCACACCATCAACTTGACCTCTAGAAGACCAGGAGTTCTACATGTCATTCTCATTGGCGGACTCTCATTCCTACCCTGGGAAAAATATACTCACTCACAAAACGCTTTTCCCAGTGGCACACCAGGAACATTCCAGCACTGAACAACACAGCACAATGGCACTGAGATATTCAAGGTACCGCTTGACGCTTGACAGCGTGATTTTTACGAGATCCTTACGAGGTCTTTACGAGATCTGTACGAGATATTACGAGATCGGGATTTTGCAAGGCAAGGCAGCAGGGCAAGGCAGCAGGGATGTTTTCTACTCTTCCTTTCTCTGCTCTACGCCGCTCTAATCACTTCTACTCAAAAACAAAAGAATATGTCTCAAAACGAATATGTTGCGTGCCCCTGCAAAGTGTTAGAAAAATCAATGCCACAAACAATTGATTCATCCAGTAAGAATAACATGTATATCATGGACTTCCCAACGGCACACCGTTTGCGGCACAAGAAGACAACCGCGGCACAAGTTACCACCCTGACCCTGTACCCGCCAAAACCAGTTCACTATGAGAATGTAGTTGGGGGCCCCATTTATCAAAGCATCAAATCCAGCCAGGGCTTCATATCAACGACCCCACTATGATCCGAATGGCGCTTGGGCCCTAGCATGGCGATTAACAAGGTCCACCAACGGCTGGTCATTTTTCGTATCTTAGATTTATATGTGCTAACAATTCGAGCAAATCGGATATTACTGACATAGAAATGGATTCCAATTGAAATCTGCGGATTTGGCAATCACCTGGCATATTTCACCAAGGACCACTGCTTGTTGTCTTTGCTGTTTTGTTGGGGCCAGGGCCTATCATCTTATTTGTTCCTGACCCACAACTGTCATGGGAATAAGCGTTCAAGTTTGAAACTGCTAGGAACCCAACGCTCGCATGGTTATACCATTTGATTCATCCATTCATCCCCCTCACACAAACAATGAATGAACAAAAACCATCTTTAATGGCCACGAAACTATACTGAAACTATACTAAAATGAATGGACGATGTTTTTCAGTTGGTGAAACGCAAGCCATTTCCCCCCATGATCCCCCATGGAACATTCCCTGCAGGGACCCCCAAAATCCAAGGGTTTGTCATTACATATCATTAATATCAATCATTATCAATAATTGCAGTCATTATATTAATCATTATATATAATTAATTATCATTATAAGAATCATGATAATAATCATTATGTTAATCATTATATCAATCATTATATTAATCATCATTTATCATTAACTAATCATTATATGAATCATGATATAGCTTCCCATTCTTTCCCATTGGTTGGAGGTAGATCTTCTTGGAACCCAACCTGTGGGAGCTGATGGCTGGGTTGCTTTGGCCGCCTTGGGCCAGTGGGAAGTGAAGGACCAATAAAAACATCGGTCTTTTCCGGAAAAAACATGTGTTCCATCAGGGTTTCTGAGGCTCTTGGTATGATAATGACAATGGGAATGAAAGAAAAATCGTTTCTGATGGTAATCATCGTCATCATCATCTTCATTGATGCAATGCCACACCCGGATTGATACACGGTCCCATGATGTCAAGTCAAGGTCAGATCATCACTCGTTGGTTTAAACCCCTGGCCATGCCGCATCCTTCCAAGGTTGATCCTGCAGCGAACCAGCAAGGAGCCTCCAAGTATCGGATCGTGGCGAGAGAATCTGGAATGATGCCCACTCCAACAGCACCATACCTGGCCAAAAGAAAACACCGCCGATGAAATTCATCACTTGTCCGTGGAAAAAAATCACCGGTCTTCGATTGTTAGCTGCTATGTAAGGCGCATACATTACAATTCAGTAGAAGGCACTGCAATACAATACAAGACAATACAATAAATGAAATGAGAATACATTGCATTACATTATATTGCATTGCCTTAGATTACATGACATTGCGCTGCGTTTAGATGAAAAAAATCATCGTCATATTCTAGTCTCAGACAGAAATGTTTCACATGACTAGTCTTTTGATGTTCAATCCACTCATCTCAAGTCCAAGGATGGTGGGGGGTTTCTAAATCTTGGAGCTGCGCTGACACTGATCCAAGTGATCCAAGGTGCAGTGCGCCCCTGTGATCTGTGGTCAAACGAACCCCGAAGAACCCCGAAAATTCAGGGTGAACACAATGAACACAAAGCCTAAGATGCCAAACAGTAAAAATGAACCGCGCGATCCACAAGAAGCTCTCATGAACCTCTCAGTGCTGCCTCATGTTTTCTTCCCTGGGTGTTGAAAAATCCACCATTTTCAGCCCTTTTCAACAGCTCAACACTCAGGGAATATCTCCCGTGGAGCCCATAATCGCTTCCGCATGTCCGCCTCCTCAGCTTCTCTGAGAGAATGGATGCCTGTGGACGCCAGAGATCTGAGAGAAATAGACGAAGACCCCTGTTTGCCCCTCAAAAACACAGAAAGATACAGAAAATCATGAATGAAAGAAAGGAAGCAAGGAGGCAAGGAGGCAAAAAAAAAAAGTGACCATCCACCTAACTTAATCCTAACATCATATCATCACATTCCAACTTCCAAAGCCCAACTCATAGCCATCCCAAATCCCGGTGCCCCACCTCGCCCATAGGTGAGATCCTGGAGGCCCCAACCAATGTGGATACCAACCATTGGTTCATAGTGGTTTATAGCTATTGCTGTTCGTTTTCAACTATTGCCCCCGGTGTTGAAAGATATTGAAAGTACATGACATAAGATGACTGGGATCCTATTATGAATTATGATACAATATGATATTATAATATATATATATACATTGATATACATTATGTATTATATATTATTATATTATATTATAACATATTATAATATAATATAATATAATATAATATATAATATATAATATATCATAATATACATATATATATATATTATGTATTTCAAAATATATAAACTGCTGGAACCACCTCCGGTTGTTTGAACCCCCCTCGTGCCGTCCTGTGCGCGCCACCGCATCACTGGGCCCCCATGGGGCTGAGCCAAAATCTTGGCAAAAATCATGGAATTTTCATATGTTTTCATGGAAAAAACTCAGGAAACTGCTGTTTAATGCTGTTTAATGCTGTTTAATGCTGTTTAATGAGGTTTAATTTATGGCTATTCCTGGATTTACCCAACTCCTTGCTGCATGTTTGATCATATCTCTGAATTTTAACCTGAATAGGTATACCAGGTATACACTCGAATAGCCTCAATAGCCTTGGTGATGATGTCTCAGCTAGTTGGTTCGCATTTCTTCGCGTCGCCGCAGGTGTCACTCAACTGTACACGACGTGGCGAACAAAATCTGACGGGTTGAGATAGGCGCGGGTGAGGTCTGTTGCATCACACCACCATTGGATTTTTGTGGTTCTTTGAAGCCTTTTGATGCGTTTCGCAGGAAGTTGTTTCATGTACTTTGGTACCCCGCCCCTATGCCAGGACATTAAAAGCTCAACAGACCTCATGGTCTGTTTTAGATCAAACACAATAACTGAGCGGGCACGGGCTTGTTCGCAGAAAAGTTCACGGACGCGCTCACAAGAAAAACATCATGTGGAAGAAGTTGGCGTTATTGGGATCAATCCTCAAAGTTGGCTGCTGAGTCCCCCCATTTCACCACTGGGGATATTTCATCAGGCTCTCAAAACATCCTCGGTTGAGTACACTGATCTCGATATATCTCGATACTGCGTGTATTCTTTATGCCTGGTAAATCTATCATGTTTCGAAGGGGTTCTTCTTTGATCCATGGCCGCTTTCCTGGCCATGGAATTTTCATACATGTTAGCTCCTCTTACCCTGTGGTAATCAAACCTAGCCGGAGGAACTCCGTCTTGTTATTAATACATGACATATAATTGCTAGTACATTTGATGGGCAAGGCTGGGTTAGCTGATGGTTGCAAATCCCATACCCGATTTTTTCAGTCAGCAGATTGATCATTTCACCAAAATATCTCAAGCATGACTTACCAACCATTGTCCAGACAAGACAGTTCGTTCTATCCTCAGTTCTGATAGTAAATCACCATTTTAATCAGCAGATTGAAACTTGAAAATCTATGAACATCTGCTTTGTTCTGCTGATTTCTCAGAATGTTAATCAAATTTTGCCCAAATTCTGGCTGGAATTTCCCATGGCGATCCCATAAACCTTGCCAAAAGGCAGATAGTTGGGATTGCCATTGGGCTCCAGAGCAATGCGCTCGGCAGCAGCATAGCCATCGCCCAGCATTTCTTCCTCGGACCACGGAACCCAGGCGATTTGGCGATTTCGTGGGGGGATAGAATTGCCAACTTACCATCTGGTTATTTAACAGTTTGCCATGGAAAATCACCATTTTTAATAGGTAAACCCAGGTAAACTATCTATAAATGGGCCATTTTCCATGGCTATGTTAAATAACCAGAGGGTACTTGATTTACTTTGCTGATTTGGTCGTTCTCAGCGCAAATCTATTAAATAGATGTCTTTCAATGAACACTTTTTCCTCCCAAATAAATTTGTTGAGAGTCCTTGTAGCTGCCTGGCGGTCGGACAAAACACATTTTCACCTCATAAGCTCATAGTCTTGCATTCAGCTGTGAAGCGTGATGCTTTGCAGCACCCACATTCAAACAGCAACGATCTCAAACAACAGAACCAGTATGTCGATTTCAGTTCAACCTGTTGGTTACCATATTTCGCACACGTGAAAGAAACCATGAGCGCATCTGCAAAGCTATGAACAAATCCTCTGATCTCAACTCCTCTCTTTTTTGGAGGAACGCCAAGATCCCATACGTTGCTGAATTCGGGACTGACATTTCGGGACCCCACAGCATTGGCAGGTCTGCCCCAAGGGGTGCCCCAACAGCATTCTGGAGACCAACCTCCAGACGTTCAGCAATCAGGCTGCAGTTGTGCAGCACTCCAGAAAAAACAAAAAGTAAAACACGCTATCAACTTCTATCATCTGTCAATATCTGTCATAGTATCAAGAAGAATCCCAACATAAACATGATTGATTAGGTGATTGATCCTGCTCAATTCTCTCATTTTCTCTTGATTTGACGATTATTCTGACGTTCTTTAAAAGGCGTGAGCTCATGTGAGCTCTTTTTTCCAGCGATTGCTGATGACTACAGCCACACCTAGGATTACACGGACATCTTTGTGTCCAGGGAAAATCCCACATGCGGTTTTCGGCCAGATCGGCCGATGTTTGCGGCTCTTCCAGCTGGCTATTTCGCTTGGGAAATTGGAGACTCCCCAAAAATGACCTAAAAACCAAGCGAATTACTTGGCAAAAAACCACCTTCAACTGACATCAACTGACATCAACTGACTAAAAGAAGTTTGAGGATTTGAAGAGTCCCCAATTCTGAGGCATATCCAAATGTCTGGGACGTGCAAATTTTCGAGGTTTGTGGAGTCAAATTCTGTGAGACACGGCTCAGCCAAGTCCTGCCGCTTTCGTCCATCGGTCCGGTGAAAAGCATACATGCCAATATATATATATATATATATGGTATATATATATATGTCAATGTAAAATACATGTCATAGCACTAGAAATACATAGAAAATCATAGAAATACATACAACATACAGACAAAGTCTGCTACAATGCTGGCCAGAAGATGCAACGGACCGGAGTCTGTCTGATCATTCTGATCTTGAGAGGTTTCTGGGGTCACAACTCGCCCAATTGGACTGTTAAAGGGAGCACATATTTCTCAAAGACATCACACCCTTGTAAGAGGCACAACGCACTACTGCCATGTCAAGTGACTCAATTCTTTCTGCCACTGCTCGGTGAACAAAAAGAACACCGTTTTCGCATCGTATCTCCCCAGTTTTCATGAAATTCTGGCACCAACTACATCCAAAAATCCCGATTTGTAGATGAATTATAGTAGACTAAGTATACATGGTTTTCCAGATTTGCTATATTTTGTGCTATATTTTGTGCTATGTTTCATCCATCATCCATCACCATCCATGGCTTCCAGGCCTTGATTTAGAGATTCGCCAGGAAGGGTCTCTCCGAGTCCGAAACCTCAGGGGCCTCCGTGTCTCTTGGCACCTGGTCCGATGGCTTGTTTGGCTGATAAACACACCATGTTTGGTTGTTTTTGGGGCTGTTTTTCCAGGTTTTTTCTTGATTTATGTTGATTTATGTTGATTTATTGCAATTTTTAATGGGATTTAGAAATCATGTACCACCAATTTTGTGATGTGTTCAAGTGATGGCTTGAACGTTTCAACCATGGTGAGATTCATATTGTTTGGCCATACTTTTCTAAACAATTTTGACGATTGAAAGATTAAAACCATCCAATTGATCTTTTCGGGGTGTTTTTGCTAACCCCCTCATATGAAAGTCGATTGGACCATCATTCTGACCCCCGGGGGAAATGAACCATCTACGAAACTAATGCCACAACTGGCCCGGCTTAAAGGTTCTTTTTTGGATGTGCCCAGTCAGTAAGTGGTGTAAGTGGTAAGTGGTAGCATAATTCACCTTTCTCTTAATCACATCACTGGGCTTCCCATTCACCAGTTGGGCCACACCAATCCGAGATGCCAATCCCAGACGAAAAAAAGGGGGAATTTATGGTGTTTCAAGGGGACCCTGCAGCAAAAACGGAGGTTTTTGATGGGCCATCAATGGGGCTGAAAGTTGGCTTTGGTGGGATGAACACCGCTGTGGAAACCCACCCTCCAGTGCCATGATTCAAAACATGTACTCGCAGGGGTCAGGAAAGTGTCGTCTGTAAAATGATGTAAAGTGTATATCCAGGATAGTTTTCACCCACGCACTGTGTTTCTTTCACTGAAGATGTCATGACTGCTTTGGATAAATTGTTGCAGTACCGTTTGCCGGCAATTTCAAGCACCCGAAGCTGTGGTTCATTCTCAAATTTTGAATACAGAAACCGTCCCACTTCCGCCCGACTTCGACTCTTTAAGCAATCTCCACAAAGGAAAAAACCATGAACCAAACGTCTATAGAAACAAATATGAAGCAAAACTGTTACTGTTTTGGTGACGAACTACATCTGTCAGCCAGTTGGAGAAACACAAGGATAAAATGGAAAAAAAAACAGGAGAAATTGTGGGCTGCTGTTAGCAGCACCGCGTTCACACGGGACTCCATGGGATTCGGCGAAGACTTCCCAGCCTCCACGATGTCTCGGTTTTGCCGCACACGGCGCACTAAGCCACCAATGGCCAAGAGCCCAAGGAAGCCACAGGAAAAGGCCAAAATGATCTCCTGCCATGGGCAAACTGAAAGTTTCACTGTAGGTCACCTGAAGGTCTACTGAATAGGTCTGATTTATCTGAGATCCCTTTGAACTGACGGTGAGTTGTTGGTTGCTGGCAGCACTTTCTCCTTCTGCTCATCTGGATTGCATTAAAAGCTGCCGGTCAATTATGCACATTGACGACGTAAAAACCGAACACCTACAACAAATATTAACAAATTTGGCGAGTGCAGGTTGGGGAATGGTGCAAGTTTTTCTAGAGCCAGGGACCATCAGGGACCCGTGGTGCTGGGCGTTCTCCTTATTCGAAGATCACAACTTTTCACAGATCCCATTTAATCATACCAAAGCAAAAAACACCTGGACTCCTAGCACCTTCGATTTAATGATGATATCATCATGTCCCATAGGATCCATGTATGCTATATATGGTAACACCCCCAATGTTAGTATATATACCATACATGGATCCTATGGGTGTTAAACACATTTATACACCGTTGTCAGTTGGATGTATACATTGTGCGGCCAGATGCTGAGATAATCCAAAAACCACCCCCGAGTCCTGCACACATCCGATCCAACTCATCCCACCAATCCAGCACCCATAGACCCATCGAGGAACAAACATTTTTCTTTAAAAAAAAAGAATCCTTCATCCATTCATCATATCTATGTATATATATTCTATTATATATATGTATATATATATATTTTTTTTTCCAAATCTAATCATTATAGATAATAAATTATATAATTATAGAAAAAAAACATCTTGCGCCCCATGAGCATCCACTTCAAAACGTCAACCTTCGCCCATTCATCGATTTATCGCATCGTCGTCGTCCTTCATCTGACCGTGTTCCAACTGCCGCGTTCGCGCGTAGAGGCTCCGGTACTTCTCCAGCAGCTCATCCGACGGTGCGGCCGCGGCCTTGGCCTCCTTGGCCTTGGCCGCGGCGATGGCCGCTGGGGTGCTGGGCTTCGGAGTTCGCATGACCTGGCCGCTGGCTGGGGACTGTTGGGATCTGCTGGGACTTGGGATGTGGTGTTGTTTGGCAAGGTGTGATGTGATTGTCATTTGGGATGATACTGTCTGATACTGTTAAATATGATCTTTTCACAGCTAGGTTGGTTGGGATTTCGAGCAGCAATCACGTAACACATGATAAGACCATGAGAATACCGGGAAGAACTTGGAGTTGGACCAAGAAAAAAGGGTGACGGCACTGAGAAAACTGGACTTCTAGGGCAATAGTTGGACTCTTCAAAGTAACATGGTTGAAGCCTTGTGCTGTTCAAATGATTGGCCAACTTTCATGTCAGGATGAGCCGGATGAGCCCCATGTGCTGTTCATTTATGTAAAAGATATTACCCCCAAACGGCCATTGAACAATGGATTTAGGGCAGCCTATTTTCGGACTAATATGACTAATTCATATCCACTTAACTCAAAGAAAGTTCACCAACTGTGGATCCTCTTAGCATCATTTGGGCATATGAGGCATATGTCAATGGTACCAATGGATCCGAAAAAAATGTTGAGTCATAACATCCATATATCCATTTTGGGGTATTGATGAGCTTGACACATTCCCATACCTATCTCATTAATGCATAGTAAGGCATGATATATTATAACATTAGGAATAGTTACGCCCATCCAAGTCATGTGGGTGATATAGGTATGGCGGTATGGGGCGGGTGATTCTATCCATCATTTATGGCACGGGATTTTGAAACATTATATTATAAACGATTAAACACTGAGGCGTACCCATGGTTTCTTTCTACTTTCCAGCTGAAAATGGCCCAAATACAGGGGGGGCAATTTCCACCCCTCGTGATCTATCAAAAAAGGTCGAAAAGTAAAACAATGGGTTTAGTAAGTGTGCTTTTCTATCTTTTTGGGGGGTTACGAAAGCTATATCATACAGAATTTAATAATACACTCGGGTCATCAAACGTGGCCATGAAACGTCCGATATCAATGCTGTTTTTTTTCATCTGGGAACATAATCGATTTTCCTCATTTCAGGATGGTTAAACCAGGTTAAACCATGTTATACCCCCAAATTTTACCTTCTGGCAATTTGAAATAATTTTTGAACATGGCCTTTATAGTTCATTTACCTATTAGATACCTATTAGACATGATGATTTTCCATAGCAAACTGTGAGTTTACCAGATGGATCCAGATGGTAACCCATTGAAAATCCACAGATTTCCCAACTGGAGAGCCTCTTTCATGCTCCGACTGCGCTTTCGCTTGCCGCCAGGGCCGCAGGACATGGAACAGGCACCCCATCTGGACCTATGACCATCACCCGATGGGTTCCCAATGGATAGAGATATCAGCTGTTTTTTAATGGGGAATAGTGAATAAATGTGGTTGATACTATGGTTTTTACTATGGTTAAATCCTGTTTTTTTTTCAAGATATCCAGTAAGATCCTTCCCATCGAATCGGTGCTCTTTTCCAAGTCATTCGTCCAAAACACCAAACATTGCGTGATTGGAAAAATAATTCTAGTCATTCCCAATGATGATAATCACACACCAAAAATTACATCATCATTTCTTTTGGTGGGCTGGAAAATTCCGAAAGAACAGACACACACGCAAAAAAAAAGATCGTCTGGCGAAATGACCCAGCAGTTACCTCAAAAAACATCGAACACCTGGATGATATCCCAATAACTATATATAAATATATTATATGTATATATGTATATATATATATGGGTATAGTATCGTTAAGAGCTTTTGCAGTGTTTGAGAACTTATATAAATCATAGAAGTTGCGCACGTTTCATAGGAGTTGTGCCCGTTCCATAGAAGTTGTGCACGTTTCACAAGCCCCCTAATAACGTTCGTGTTCAACTGCTGCGGAATGGACTCAAAACCGAAGCTCTATATATATATATGGATATAGTCAATAAATACTTTGATCCCACTTTTGAAAACTCACTATCATATAATATAATCATATCTAGTCATATCGGGTTGGGGTCACCAGTTTCCACAACTTCACGTGGGATCATCGTTCAAAAATGGGACCTGTCCATGTTGATAAACCCTGCTTGGTCATGGTCAGGTCCCCCTGAAATCTGGATCTTAGGTGATCTCAGCATATCTCAGTCATTTTCAAAGGACATTTCACCAACCCTGGGCACATTTGGTTGAACAGTCAACCAACTACATGGGAAATGTAAAATCAGAACCCAAAGTGCAAGTTTGCGACCAGCACTGAGAGAACACCCCATGTCAAGCATCATGACAAGAAAGTGGATATTTCATCCACAAAATGAGGGATGCTAGTACTGTGGAAGATTTCGGGGGTTCAATTCAGCTTAAACTTAAGTCCAGCAGCCACTCGTGCCATTCGCAGAACTTTTCCTGCAGAGCCATCCGACATCAGCTGAAAATCATGCATGATGTCAGCCATTCACAAGCCATTCATAAGCCATATCAGAAGCCATATCAGCCATACATGGATAGTTGTGCTCCACTTGTGAAGTCCTCTGCGCAAGGATTGGGGCAACGTCCAACTTCTTCCACATCGGCCGGAGCACATTCACGTCCACCCTGCGGTGAAGATTGGCTTCCCGTTTTGACCCATCTGGCTTGATCCACCCAAAATTTCTAGTTTCAATAGTTTCAATTCCAAATAGTTAAAAAAAGTTTAAGCGGGACTCTGTCATAACCTATGATCCAGCAAAAAATGTGGAACTTGGACAAGGAGAGGATGAAGCTCCACAAGTACCAGCAATGAAGGGTTCAAGATTGGGTGCTGCGCCTCTGCGGGATAGACCAAGATATGTCTATAACGCTTCCTCTCGCCGCTGCATTTCATGCATTCGCCCCACCTCAAGGTCTGGGAAGGGGGGCAGGCAACGCCAAATGGCCATGGTCCAACCGTCGGTCATTGTGAGTCATCCAAGGCCGATATGAACTCCAATAATATCATTCCATGTTTGGGGTTGTACTTTTCTATCAACTGATTGGGTGCGGTGTGGATATGGGTTTTCAATAGAGGCCATGGATTTTGAACTGCATTTCGGCAGAGGTGCAGTTTTTGCTGGAAGGTATATTATAGGTCTTTACCATGCTTTATTTGCAGAAAATGTGAGTAAACCATTTTTTGATTACTCGACCCATACCCAAATGATCTGATTCCCGTTGATATCCCCAACGGAGCATCCCCCCGGTTGAAACCAAAGTTGACAGGGGTAGAAGCAACAGAAATGGAGATCTTGAGCTGTCAGAATAGGGAAACCAAGCCAGAAACGGTGACTGCCTTGATTTGAGATCATAATGATACACCTTCATTATATTACATAATATTATTTATATATATATATGATATGATGGTGACCCATAGTGGGACTAAGCCCCACCGCTTTGCCATGGTCATCCCACAAGGAAAATCCTGTCGCGTACGAGACATGCTGAGACCCCAGGCGGTCTCCACTCACCGTACACGCAGTCGATGGGAAGATTGCCACCGCCACAGCGTGTTCTGGCGCATTCCTTGACTTCTTCCATGCGACCTGAAGCCGATAGGCAAGGGCCCCCTATCAGTGATACATATTTTGTTTACCATTTAAACCTATTGAAATCCCAATCATGGAAAGTGATGTGGAGTTCTAATTCCATGTTGAATTGCTGGTAAGTGGTATACACGGAAAAAGGCGACACCTCCTTACATGACTTTAGATCCACCCGAAATGTGTCTTTTACCTGCAAAACTAAGGATTCAACCAACGATTGCACGGTAATTCATCTCATTGGGATTTGAACATTTCACCCAACAGGGGGCTAAGCAAGTTACGAGTAGAGTGGGATAGAACCTCTATCCAACAAAATGGATAGCAGAACTCTGGAGAGAACAGGAGTTCTTCTCACTAATCATACTGGCACCGCGAAATCCATCCCGCGAAATATGTTGTTTCCCCATAGGTATGTCCCAATGCTGGACAAAGCCATATTATCATATTCCTTCTCTTGGATATAATGTGTATATATTAATTATATATTACATAGTTTTATATCCAATATGTGTGTATCCAATACAATTATATCCATATTATATAACAATATATATTATAGTAGTGTGTGTGTGTCCAATTTTATCCCCATTGTCTCCCTATTGCTACACCCCATGATCTGTCCATGATGACCACGTGCGATGGCTGCAAGCCCTTCCAACGATGCGGCCTTCACAGACCCGACCACCGAAGGTTGCGTGCTTGGTGATGTGTCGCTGGCGCCTACAGGGCATCAATCCAAAGACATGGACATGATCATGGGAGTATATATATATATATCATATCCTAATAATTGTGATGTATAATAGTGATCATATCCTATATATATACATGAATAAAACCAAATAGTGAGGATGTGATTAATGAATATTAATGATTTGTACCGAGGGGAATCTGAGTTGGATTCTGAATGTCAAGGCCCTTGAGGCCAAGAATTGTGACACTTTTGATTTGCTAAACCATGGATGTTGATGGATTTGGAGTTCCACAAGCTTTGGAAACAGCTCAAATTCCGGTGCACGTGTTGGGGCATTTCATCATCGGTGATATCCTCGTCCACTGGGGATATTACCTGCTCCCAGCTGGGGCATTTCATCACTGCATCACTCTGGTCATGGGTATGTCATGGGGCATTGGTGTGTCCCATTTCACCAAGTTGCTACTGCCCATGGCCCATGTCTAACCCTGGGCCTCGCATAGCAAAGTATACTCTCGACACCCCAAGAAACTCATCCGAACTGCTACTTACTACTTGTTTCAAGGATCAACGTCATGATATTTCTCCAGCCATTCTCCATGATATTTCTCCATCCAGTCATTATAAATGGCCCATAGAAATAGATGATTTACCTATTATATACTCTCCAGCCGCATTTCCCGCCTCATTTCGCCCCCATCGCAGCTGGTGCTGCACTCCGACCAACCGCTCCAGCTGCTCAGCTCGCAATCCACGGCATCTCCCTGAGCACCTCCCAGGTCACAGGTGGTGCGGGAAACCAATGGGGGCCCAATGTTGGGTCCTGAGATGGTTAGAACTGGCTGGAGAATTGTGAAAAAAATTATGTTTAGATAAATTTGGAGATTTCATATATTTCATGAGATTTAGATGGTTCCACTGTTTGGATGTTCAGATATGTGGATGTTGAGATACTGCAGATTGGATTTCAAATGGAATATGGACACATATCTAGAAGGGGCGGGGTCTGTCCAGCTTGATGCACAACCCCACAGTCATCCCATTTCACTCACCGTGATCTTGACATAGCTGTCCTAAGTCATGGCTACCTCCAAAAATCCATCAAATCCCATCAAATCCTCCATATTTCAATAGGATTTTAAAATTTGGGAGTTTCCAGTATAAAATACATCCACAAAAAGTTGATGGAACTTTTTTCCAGTATAAACCTCTACAAATACCATCCACAAAAAGTTGGGTCAAGGCACACGCCGCATCGGTGCCGGGATTGCAGCCGTTGACCTCCTCCAAGGCCCCCTGACCTGGTCTGCTGGTCTTTCACATGGACATTGAGATAGATGATTATAGGGTAACTACCATCTGGTTATTTAGCATAGCCATGGAAAATCACCATTTTTTATAGGTAAACCATCTATAAATGGGTCATTTTCAATAGCTATGTAAAATAGCCAGAGGGTACATGTAAATATAGGAACTAGTACTTTATACTACCTCCTGTGCCTGGCGGTCTGGCCCGCCCTCCACATATTTAAATGGTGTTACCGTAGATAATTCATGAGCATTCCATGTTTTTTGGTTGATCACGTTTATAACAGGACAGCCCAGAGCTGTTCTTTTTTCGCTCCAGTTGGGAGATGAAATCACTATACGGCCTGCTGGCAGTATGCAAAGTACTAGCAAAAAGGAACAGATCGTGCGTTTGGAGCAATCATGGTGTAGCAATATTATCAATACTATTCTGGTACTGGTATATACCAACATAGTACCAACATAATACCAACATAATACCAACATAATACCAACATAATACCAACATAATACCAACATAATACCAACATAATACCAACATAATACCAACATAATACCAACATAATACCAACATAATACCAACATAATACCAGCATAATACCAACATAATACCAACATAATACCAACATAATACCAACATAATACCAACATAATACCAACATAATACCAACATAATACCAACATAGTACCAACATAATACCAACATAATACCAACATAATACCAACATAATACCAACATAATACCAACATAATACCAACATAATACCAACATAATACCAACATAATACCAACATAATACCAACATAATACCAACATAATACCAACATAATACCAACATAATACCAACATAGTACCAACATAATACCAACATAATACCAACATAATACCAACATAATACCAACATAATACCAACATAATACCAACATAATACCAACATAATACCAACATAATACCAACATAATACCAACATAATACCAACATAATACCAACATAATACCAACATAATACCAACATAGTACCAACATAATACCAACATAATACCAACATAATACCAACATAATACCAACATAATACCAACATAATACCAACATAATACCAACATAATACCAACATAATACCAACATAATACCAACATAATACCAACATAATACCAACATAATACCAACATAATACCAACATAATAATAGCAAATATCATGATAACATTGATAATAATGATATACCAAAAATTCTGGTGCAAATTTTGACCTATCCCCAAGTGCCCAAGTGACACATCCTGGCACTCTCAAAATGGTCTCTGCAAAAATGGCCACGTCGCAACCTTCGTTTACCAACCAATACCGCTCAACATCCAAAAAAGTGTCGCAAAAAATCATCTGTAAACCAAGAAAACCCTCCAAAAAACCATCCAAAACCCCCCAAAAAAACAGGCCAAAACCGACATTGTGCGGCATTTTGTTACCCAAAACCACCTTGCTGAACCCCCTGGGAGTCCGTACAGAAGAGGCCGGTGGAACCGCGCCCGTAGGAGGCGATGTTGCGGCGACGCATGGTGATCCCCAGACCTGTGGGGTTTTTCCATTGATCTGGAGGAAAAAACCACTGGAAACCCTTGGACCACTGGTATTACCCTCTGGTAAACTGACATAGCTATGGAAAATCACCATTTTTAATGGGAAAACTCACTATTTCTATGGTCATTTTCAATAGCTATGTTAAATTACCAGAGGGTACCATGGCTATATCACGCTGATTGTTTGGTTCCGAGGCTTGGAAGTGATGCAAAAACTAATTGGTGATCATCTGGGAATCTGACTTGGCAATTGCTTCCTTCATCTGCTTCGACCATTGGTTACCCTCTTTCAATCCAAGGTGCAAAAAGAACCATCGGGAGGGTGATACTTCCCAGTTGTGTAAGTATACCTTTATCCTATATCATGTTTGCCACAAAAAATCTAGGTGTACTGTTTGGGGGGTGTAGGGGTGGAGCCTGCTAAGCATCATTCCTAACTTCCTTTGGATCACAAATCAGTGTCTAATATGACTCCACTGTCGTCCAAATTCGCTGCTTTCCGAAGTAAACAGTGGATGACCAAAGCACGTACACTTTACAATACCGATTCGCATCTGAGTCGCTTCCCATGTCGCAACCAATGCATTGATGAAATCCCAAAATCAATGCAAGACAGCAGGGATTCACTGTTCTGTCTTTTTGCAGGCACCCCTGTCACAAAAAATAAATAAAACCCTCAAAAACACTCTCATCTAAGGACACCACACTCTGGTACCTAAACCATCCATTTAAACATATTCAAACCACCAGAAAAACCAGATCCCGTCACCCTTCGGAATCCAAGTGACAACTGGCTGAGCATTGGCTCCATTGACTCCATCCTGTATACAAACAATCCTTGGCGGCTTCACAGGGCGTGTCCACGTTGCAGAACTTGGTCTCCTCGTGCACGGCTGGACGAAGGTGGAATGGACATGGGGGGATACCGGGATTCCAACGGGGAAAATGATGGTAAACTGGTAAACACGTGAAAACACATGACAGCATCGTAAAATTTTGCCTAAACCCCTAATTTCAGACAAAGCCGAGTGGAAGCTTTGATGAAAACCATGGTGAGGATGGGGTTGAGAGCATGAGGGATTGTTTTGGGAGGTCTAACATGTTTTACTGGGCAGATTTAGGCCAAAGCTGTGGTCTTTGAACGTCATCACACAATTGTTCTTTTTGGGGAAATGGATGGTAGTTCTTCATTTCTGTTGGTTTTGGAGAGGGCCACGAATCTATGTAGTCAAATTGTCACGATTCCCAAAGCTGAAATGAGCCAAATTGCCAGATTGGCTACAGAGACCCCAAAGAAAACATTCCGACTAAGTTGTCTGAGGAAAAACGACAAGTCTTGAGAAGTTTTACATGGGGGTTTCCCAAAAATGGGGGTACCCCAAAATGGATGGTTCTTTTGGAAAATCCAATTTGTTTTGATGATTTGGGGGTACCCCCAATTTGAGAAACCTCCAAAACCTGTCCGCTTAGTCTCAGGCGCAGTCAAAGATGCGGAGGCTCAAAGCAACGAGGTTTTTTGACATCGCCAGCTGCTACATTCAAGAGAGAATCTCATCTACTGTTGATTCCCTTATAGTTTCTATTTGAACCATTCTCAATACCCTCTGGTAAACTAACATAACTATGGAAAATCACCATTTTTAATGGGAAAACTCACTATTTCGACTGGGCCATGTTCAATAGCTATTTTGACATAACCAGAGGGTACAACAATCTGAAACATTGGATTCATCAATATCAAAAATAGACATGTCCTCCTCCCATGGGTAGATATCCATAGAAAAAAACAGTTCTCCAGGGCTGTCCTTGTCATCTCCGATGGGGGGATTTCCACAGCTGTTGGCCATTCGCTTCACCTTCAGGACAGAAGGTACGGCTGGATCCATAGGGAATGTGTAAAAGATATATGAAAAGATGACTTATTTGGCAAGTCATGTTCCCTTATACAGCAAGTGCAAGTGTTAGTGTTGCTTCATTCTCATCAGGTTTTTTGACCAGAATTTTTTCGCATTCCAAATCGCTTGAAAAATCGTTGACTTCAAAGTCTCCCTTAAAGGTCTTAGATCCAACATCTTCCATTTCAATGGTGTCATCCTGTTGAGGAGTTTCCCTCACCTCTCGCGTGCGTGAGGTTACTCCGCCACCGCAACTGGAACTGCATGGCGTCCAACTCTGCCAACCTGCCCAGAGTCCATTGATGCCTGGGAGCGATGGGATGGCTGTTAGAACATGATTCTAAGAAAATCCTGAGGTCTTGTGAGTCTTGTGGATGGTAGAATCATATATGAATTATATAACAAAATAGATCATAGAATGGATGATACTTAGCATAAATGGATCGTGATTATCATTTTATCAATCTGCAATTTAGGAATCTATCATTGAAACACTCATGTAGCTTCTTCAAACAGGCCTTCTTTAGATATAGGTCGCCCATATATGGAAACTAAGAAAAACTAAATAAACCTAATTGAATGATAGGCAAAAATGAAACATGTTGAAACGCCTTTGTCAGAAAGGTAAAATGACATGGTGTCCCCTTGAACCAACCATGGAATTAACAAATGGTAGTAATCGTATTGGTACTTACATACCAAATCATTCATGTATGGATAGTATCTTCAGAACAGGCCAATCTTAAATGGCCCGCTACAAAGGACGGTTCCATTGGGGGGTATACTCCATGATATCCCAGTCAAAGCAGATTGTTTTTGGGGAGCGAGGTTCCAATCTTGGCTGAACTCCTTGGTAAATTGCCGCTATGGGGGGAAAACATGAAGCATCAGATTTTGGGGTACCCATCGGTACCCCATTGTTCAGACAAAGAAACAGAATACCATAATTTTCTGGTGATTTGCAGGGCCAACAGTTCTGCGAGCACTGACTAACGTGTAGCCAAGTTGCAAGTATCGTGGCAAGTTCCCACATTACAGGCACGAACCTCTTGCATGTCCTGGTGATCGCGGTGGTGAATTATTTCCCTGTGCTGCTCGACATGCTGAACAGGCATGATCATTCCACAAATATCAAATAATGTCTGATTTGTTTTGAAAGAGTGGATTGCGTGCGTGTCCATTTTACTGCCTTTCTGCCTTTACTCATCCAAACTCACATTGTTCAAAGATCATCCCATATCATCCCTGTCCATCCCCTCTCCTTCTGTTCACAATGCTTTCCCATCGAGTCCGGCATCGACTTGATCTGTCGGGTCCGGGTCTTCAAGCCTCCACCACAACTGAGGGAACATTCGCTCCAGGACTGCCAGTCATGCCAGGCACAGTCTTGCGAACACACGGGGTTGCTGCAGACCCGGTTCTCGGCGACCGAGAAGAAGCAGCCATAACCACCAGGTTCCCGGAGGTTCAAGACACTTCTCTGGCGAGATTGATGACCTTTTCCACAACTGGTGGAACATGCACCCCATTCCAACCAGCCGGAAACTTGACAATCCTTCACATCACAATTGGGAACGGAACAAGCTTTCATTTGTTTCAGATCTGTGGGGCAAAGCTTCCCCCCATGCTTGGGGAACTGGGTGATGGCCCGTTCACGCCGGGCTTGGGCGGCACCACAGCTCTGATCGCACTCATCCCAGTCGGTCCAATCTGAGACCACACAATCCACTGCCGCTGGTTGACAGGTCTCCGTCTGATGCAGCGGCCCCATACAGGGCAACCCCCCCAATCTGGCTGGCTGCTGAAAGTGCCGTTGCCGTTCCCGTTGCATGGTCACACTACATTGGCTCCATTGGGACCATTCACCCAACTCACAGTCCTGTTGCTTGCCCAAGCCACAGTCCTCCCAGTAGCCTGCGTGGCAGCCGGTGACCTCTGACAGCAATCCATTGCACTGTGCTCCCCCGGCATCTGCCAGGTTCGCCACGCTGCGCAAACGACTGCGATAGCCTTCGCCACAGCTGGTGCTGCAATCCGACCAACTCTGCCACTGACCAAACTCACACGGGTCAGGAAGCTGGCCTTGAAATTTCAGCCACCAAAAATTGGAAATGTCGGAAGAGAGATCACCAGTATATAGTTCACACTTAACACTTTAATGTTTACTATCGGGGTAATTATGGACATACATATAATTTAATTATATAATAATATATTTATTATTCAATTCAATGATAGTTTCCCCAGCCCGGGAGTGCTGATATCTCGTAACCAACAAGGAAATATCTGAGAAATCTGATTTATTTAAAAAAAAAAACATCATTTCATCATATTTCATCCCAGTCACCTTTGCACGCCTTGGTTTGTGCCATATCTCCATAGCACGCCAAGCCCCCATCCTTGGGAGGAGTCTTCACCTTCCTTTCGCGATATCTCTGACCTCCCACGAAGCCATCAGAGGCGTTGGAACAGGCCGTCCACTCGTTCCACTCCGACAGCTCGCAATCCACGGGAGGATGACATGGCGATGGGCAGCTCTTGGTTTCGTGCAAGGCACCAGTGCATGGTGTGCCGCATTCGTTGTTCATCTCCTGGACCACGCGTTGACGTTCGCAGAGACCCAGACAACTGGCTTCGGACCATTCAGCCCATTCACCAAAGGAGCAGTGGAGGGGCTTGCAAACCTCCTTACACTCCTCTGCCATGGGACAATCTGCCACATCATGCTGGATCCCTGACAGGCTTGGGGCGGTTGGGGCTTCAGATGGACCATTGGAATTGTCGCTTACACCCCCACCTTGAGGCACCCCTCACGGTTGAGTGATTTTTCATGTTGCAATAGCCTGGCATTTCATGACATTCCAACCTTTGGGTATGGCTCAAATTGCCCCAATCATTGGATGGTTTCTAAACAGTCTCCAAATCCGCCAAATGTTATGGATCTTCAATTTGAACATCATTAACACAAATAGAAACAAAACGATTTCAACAAATAACCCAAATTTCAACAACATGGTGGTTTCCTGAAATGGGGTACCCCCAAATCATCCATTTTTTTTGTCGGGATTTTCCATGAAATAAACCATCCAGCTATTGGGGTACCCCCATGACTTAGGAAACCCCCATGTACTGAAAATTCATCCAATTCCTCCTGAAAAAATAGGAAAATTTCGACACATTTCCAACCTGAACAGCTACTCGAAGTATTCCCGGTGAAGAGCGGCGTATGCCCCGTGACCTCCGGCTGCAGTTGCATCCCGCGGTGTCGCGTCAAGGTGCGATCTGCACAGCCCTTGGAGCATTCGCCCGACCACTGGGCCCAGGTGCAGAAACGCGTGTCCGCACCTCGGGGTGTGAAACATGTTGAAAGCCGATTTTTGATGTGGCTATGGGTCAAAACCCTGGTACCCTAGAAACCCTAAAATAGCTGGTTAATGGATTGTTATTCCCCCAAATATGGTAATTTCATAGGTTTTGACCCATCCCCATGTCAAGTTTCATAGGTTATCAATGGTTGAACATACTCCCAATAGTTGGATACTGGTGGATTAGTGAGATAAACCACTGATCAACTGGAAACTTGTGAGACTGTGGTTGCGGCATCACCAGTCGAGGGATGTGGTAACCATCCCATTATTTTGGATGGGTCTTAAAAGATCCTTTTGGTAGTGCAGGATGTCGCAACCATCCATAGTATCATTCTTTGGTGATGTGGGATAGAAAATTGATGAACATTGATGAAAGTGTTGATTTTCGGGATGATGTTCAGTTGTTTTTTGATTTTTGCCAAATTGGTATGCTGGAATTTACTTAGATTTCGGTGTTTTGCACTGAGTATACCAGATTGATGAATTTTACCAAGATTTCGGTGAAATTGTCTGGTGATTCTTGGGTGATTTGCATGCAACTAATCAAGTCCCATCTTTGACAATCCCCAGTTCGAATTCCCCATCCTATCCATAGGACTGGGACATGTTTAGTCAAACATGTAATTTTGGGATAAACAACTGGAAAAGATGGCCTGCACGATGAAGGTGTTTTAGGGGCAAATGTTTGGGGGGTTCACAAATTGAAAGACCTGGCAAATACCCTAGGTTTTGCAGGGGATACGTCGAACCCTGCGTGTAGCAATCTGAAGGACCCTTCCCAAATCCCAAAATGATTATATAATGAACCATATATTTGCACGAAGATCAAGCATCTTCCAATATGATTGCTCAACTGCCACTTGTACTTGTTGCCATGGTTCATTTCAATGCCCTTTGAAGATGTAACACCTGTTGTGTTCAGGTGTATCTTTCCCAGCCTTCATGATCCCCACTTTCCTGGGGATAAAACTCGGCACTTATGGCTGCCCTGCCCTCCATGTTTTTTTCTTGATATCAACCACTGCGGCCTAGATTGGTCAAGATGAATCTGCAATACTTTCCAATCAAAGATTTTTAAGAATCAGGAATTTGATGTTCTGCAGTGGATGGAATCAACTCCCTCAAACAATATCATCCATCACCCAGCATCCAACACCACACACACACACAAAAAAAAAAACAAAAAAAACAAACAAACCCGCACCGCCAACCTTCCGCAACCAACTTCTTCAAATCCACCAAAACAATGTTCTTTTATAATGGGTTTATGATATAACGACTATATTGACTATATCCGCCGACCCCGACTGACAAGAAGGGGAGCGCATCAGGGAAGAAGAGCTACTACTACTACTACTACAACTACAACTACAACTACAACTACAACACCTCCAACAGCTTGTGCTTCGCGGGCGTGTTGGCGCAGCAGCAACAGCAGGAGCAGGAGGAAAAAGTAGCTAAAGTCATCATTTTCTATGGGTTTCAGAAGTTACGTTAGGCAGTTTTTGGACTTTTTTTTTGCCTTCTCCGTCCTTCACTGCCATGATGTTTCCCCACCCGGCAGCCGCGTTTTTATGTGCTATGTTTGCGTATCGGTGCGTTTTGTAGCTTCGATGGCAGCAAAGTACTGGCAACATCTGGCAACTAACAAGTGTGTTTTTACCATTTCCCAAGCCGCACCAACTACCATGTAATTTCATAATATTTCATTGGGATTCTTGCAACAACCCACCTGGAACAAGCCAGAATCGCCATTCAAATCTCATCGGATGTGTCATCCATTTTTCCCAAGATCTTCCTTAAGATCTTCACCTATTTCAACCATTTTCAACCGAAAGCGAGGTGCAGAGACTGTCGCATTCGGAGATTTCCATGGCATTCTTCGGATCGCAGATGGCTCCCCCCAGTGTTGGCAGCTGCTGTATGATGCGGTGGCGCGTCCGTTTGCCCTGGCAGCTGCTGCAGTCGCCCCAGTCAAGCCATTCGCTCCAGCGGCAATCCTTGGCCACCTGCCGAGGGATGGAAAAAGGCTTTCGTGTTTGGGACTTGACCAGCAAAATTGAGGAAAAATCGTGAGTTGCTGGGGATTTTGGGGGAGTTCATGACATTTACTGGGAGTTGAACAGAACAAAACCATGGCTAAGTAATGGTACATACATCGACCTAGTTGTATAATGGTGGTTGTAAACCAATTTGCCGCTAGAACCGCCTTTTGGCAAAATGGGAGGTTTGAAGGCTGGTTTGAGGATGGAAAATGCTGGGAAAATGCAGAGAAAATGGTGGAAATTCCTGTGTTTGGGTGATTTGAAGGGCAAACCTGGAGGGAAAATGATAGAAATGTGCTAGGAAAATGGACAATGAAGGGAAAATGGGTTGAAGGAGGTTTGGAGGACTGAGTTTCATGGTTTCGAAAGATGGGCAAAAAATCGTTTTGAAAGGGTTTGGAGTTTTGGATGAAGAGTGCTGGAAAACAGGGGTTTTGCAAGTGTCTTTTTCGATGAAAATGCGGAAAATGGGGAAAATGATTGCAAGATGATTGCAAACCAGGAATTCTCCAATGCTCTTCAATCTTCAATCATGAACAAAAACTGCGTGACAACCATTCAAAACCTATTTCCATTGGGGCCAAACAACAACACATCCAAGGTTAGCATCTCCGTCTCCATGTCGGAACCGCAGCAGAAAAACATCCTGTTTTTCAAAGTGGGTTTCAGAATCGATCTCTGTGTCCTGTCAGCGTTTTCTGAAAATGATTGGTATCAACTCCTGGGTATTTCACCACATTTCACCCATGGATCTGCAGATGGACGTAGACTTCACCAGGAATCCCTCGGATGTCCCGCCTCGATGGGACAAGCTCCCAAGTTGCAGCCGCGAACCAAACTGAGATTTCCGCTGCACAAGGTCCCACCATTCGCCGAGGCCTGTAGCACCTTGGGAAATCAAAGGATCCTCTTGGTATACTCAACATCAATTGCTCACTAACCATCAGCTATATATTCTGTGAATGTAACATAGCCATGGAATTATGGAATTCATCATATTCATCCGTCTTAAGAGCTATATATATATATATCATCTGTAAAATGGGCTATTGTTCATAGCCATGTTAAACTACCAGAGGATACCCAGGATGTAGATGAAACATGGGGAGCAGCCCTCTTCAACTATTGGACAAGGAGATCCACAACTGGAAGCAGCGATAGCGGTTTTGAAAACCGGAAACACACCAGTTGACCAGCTTAGAAATGTGGAACTACAGCCTGGATTGACTGGTGGGCATGTCGATTTCATCTTTAGCCTTGAAAATAGCACCACTTCCAAAGAATTCCAAGATCATCGATAGTAATCCCCAATATCAACATAGTATTTCCAGATGTTTCCAGGATGGTAGTTCTATCATGTTTTCTCCAGAAAATCCAGGTTTCCTGTTGGGCTTCGGCGATCTAAGCCTTCTAAGCATCTCACCTTTCTGTTGCTCACTTGCTGCCCTTCGCCGCAGCTCGAAGAGCACTCTCCCCACTTGGACCACTCCGTCAGCTCGCAGTTCTGGCCGGGTAACAGAGATGTATACCGCTGTATACCCCCAAACTTGCGATGCCACTTGGGGAAATGATCATCAACCACTAAAATTGGAATACCCCATCCGTGATCAAATCCACTTTATCATAGCCACTATATTTGGGATCGCTTATTCAATGGTTCCACACCCAAAACAATCAGCAACTCTGCCGGGCTTGTTTTTGATGGTTGACGATGGTTGGATGGGCGGGATGAATAAACTTTGACGACACAGAATCCCCTTTCCAGCCCAATTTCAGTGGCTTCTCCAGAGACTTCAAGGCTCATTTCCCTGGCCAGTGGCTCGTATATTCTAAACCAGTCACACATGTGTTTTCACCCCACGGATTTTCGTCAAAAAACATTCACCACATTTCGCCCCGTTTTTATCGCCAGCCAAGGGCGTTTCCCCATCGCCCCAGTCCTTCACCTCCTTCACAGGTCCACACGCAAGGGGCATTGCCTCACCAGCTGCGGGATTGCAATCCGCCACTTCCGTCAGACTCTGCTTGCCACCTGAGGCCAGAGATCATCTTTGGTTCCCAACATTTTGGGAGATCATTTTTATAATCCATTGGTCCATTCTATTGTATATGCCATCATCATCATCATCATCATCAAGATCTTGCAAGATCTTGCAAGTAAATATATCTAATGTATGATGAAGTGGTCTGCGATACATTAGCACTGGGCTGTGTTGCATGTGGATTCCAAGTTCTGGGAATGGAGCGACTCACTTTTTGCAGGGTCTTCCCAAGTCCGCAGGCGTATTGACTGTTCCCACTTGCCGACGGCTGTTGCTACCTCTATGGTTGACACAATGACAAAACTTGCTGGCGAACCTATGAACATATGATGAACATATGATGAACATATGATGAAAATATGATGAACATGTTCATAGACTCTGCCCAGATTTTCCCATGATTTTCCCCATCGCCACCCCATAAGTGTGTCCCCCAAATGGCGCCCAAACGGGTCACAGCTCTTGCCGTTGCCCTGCGCCAACGCCGCGATGCGCCGCACGCGCTGCCGGATGCCGTGGCAGGGGCTGCTGCAGGGAGACCATTGACTCCAGAGCGACATGTGACAATCCGCATCCTGCACCGCACCATGCGCTGGTTTTTGTGTTTTGAAACACCGGAAAATCATTGAGAAAAAACACAAAAAAATTGGGCGAAATCAGAAAAATGAGTCTCAACTCATGAATTGAATGATGAGTTCCCGAATATAGTGCAACCAAGTTGTTGTTTAGCTGGTGAGTAAAAATGCAGATCATATCCACGGTCCAAGCATTTTTGGGGGGTGGAGTTGCTCATGGGGTTCATCAGGATGCTAACCCCAAATTGGTAATTTTACCAGCAAATGCGTGGGACACATTTTCAGCCGTAGTTGATTATATAATGTTGATGATATCCAATGGTATCCTGGTACTTTTGTTGGTGCTTCAATGGGCTTTATCCAGTGGGTTTTCATTGCTGGCTAGGATTCAAACCATACTTGTGGGTGCTTCAATTGGATTCGCCCACCAAATTGGGTTGGTCACATCGTTCAAGACACGCGTTTCGTCCTATGAAATCACAACCTTTTCTTCGCAGGAATCAATGTATGGGATTTAACTCGAATTCATCAACAATAACTTGATTAATTAAGGAGCAAATGTATAGCAATTGCATGGTAATTTGACCAGCTACAGTGGATGTTACGACCAACAACTCGGATTTACCCAAACACATTCGGATATTAGTGCATGTCACGGGCACAAATCACGCAAACTTGGATGAAATCAAGAGTATCTGCAAAAAATGGGGGTGGTAATTGACCAGCTATAGCTGATTCTGGTCCGGCGATTATAGGAATCTCACCAGCATGGGGAAATTCACCAGCTATAGGTTATGATAGGTTATGGCTATGGTTGACTATGGTTGGTGAGCTCAACCCAAAAAATATGTGGTCCTTGAGGTTCTCATCCTAGAAGTGGGCAAGCTCAGGGGGCCCCGGGATGAATTGTGGAGACCCTCTCCTCTGCACACAGTGGAAGATCGCAAAGTTTGAACTCTTGCTTCAGCCCTTCCTGGCCAAATCGGAAAAGGGGGGGGACATCCGTGATATATCTGTGATATCCAAGCAAATTGTAGATATCATGAAGAGAAATAGGACCTATGGGAAGTAGAACCAGAAACCACTGCCGTTCTCCACATCCAAAGTACAGCACTTCAGCAGTGAAATCCGGGCTCACCTCAGCGCTCCCCTTGATTTTTGCACCCAGCTTCAGAAATTGGCCAGCTTGTTTTATCCGATGGGTTCCAGTGTTTCTTAAAGGCCTGTAAGATTGTCATCTGGGTATGGGTCAATACCTATAGATACATTTTTAGGGGGTTATTCACATCCATAAATCCCAGCTATTTTGATGTGAACAGAAGGGGTACAAGGTTTTGACACACTGCCATCTGTTACATATCATATACTTCTTTCGGGACACCCTGGAACTTCAACCGCCCAGATCGCACCGGCAAAATGCCACAGTCATTGGGCAGGACCACCACGGACCGATGGCGGGTTGAGATGGCTTTGCCGCACTTGGCGGAGCATCTGCCCCATTCCTGAACCAATTGGATGATGGGAAAATGATGGGAAAATGGTCATGGAATGTCATGGAAAGCCGGGCCTACACTCCTTTCCAACTGAATATCTTGAATATGATTAAAATGGTTGATTGGTGTATGGTGAAGCATCTTTAATGTCTCATTCAGCTTTGATTTCTTCGTTTGCAATCTTAGATTTGTCACTCTGCAACAATTTCTAGTTCTTCATGCTGATGGCCAACGAAAGAAGCTTCGAAAAATATCAAAGCAAGGTTCACCAAGAGGCTTCTGATGTGAACATAACTACACAAATACGAAAAGTTGCTGGACAAAAAGGATTGAATCAATATTAATAATATTGAATATTACCACTTTGTGGCCTTTCTACAAAAGCTTAGGAGTTTTTGGAGCAAGAACTACGTAGTAGGAACGTTTGGAGAGTTCATAAGGTGTTGCTCACAGTTGCATTGAGTCCGTTAAAAAAATTGGGCAATCAAATGTGTTCATCGCTCCCAGCGACGGGATGCACATTTTCTGAAACTGCCAACCGGTAACCAGATGTTTTCTGACAAACATGGGTAACCAGGTGATAATATCACTTTCATCACCCAAGGCCAGGTCATACTACCTAAAGTAATCTGCTGGACATGGACATGTTTTTATGCGCTGCGCTGGAAAAAATGCTCAGGAATGCTCCGGAATATTCACGAACACCAGTGTTTTGGTGAAATGGCGAAACGGCTATTTACCGCCAAAGCTTCTGACCACTCGCCCCATTTGCCATCACGGCAATCACCGCACTGCTGGGTATTGCACGGCATCACCACCTTCGACGTTGAAAGGGTTCCCTTGTGAGTGCTGAACAAAAAAACAAGGGGAGGCCTAATTTTCCCGTAGTTCAAACAGGATGGAACAGAAAAACTATCAAATTTGGCGAGTTTTGGGGGGGTTCAGGTTTGAACTTTATACGTTTCGACGGGTTTATTCTAAAGTGGGCTTAAACTTAAGAACTTAATCCATTTAATCCCAAAACCATGATGTCAACCCCGACAACAACTTGAGGTTACCCCCCAAAATAGCTTTCGAAAATCACTCCCAAAATTGGTACCTCCCCTATGAATAAACCTGGGCTACTCATCCTGGGGGCCCCGCAGGGCCAACTGCTTCCATGTCGCCTCTTTGATCTGAGGATCACATGCCTTGCCACCAGCATTGGGCGCTTGTACCACTGCGCGATTGCGACGTTTGGAACCTGCGCGTGCGGGGGGAGAAATGGAGGATAAACGATGAGAACTAGGACCCCGGGAGCTTCTGAAATTTAGTGGAATTTGTCCAAACCTGTTTGGTTTGTTTTGGGAATTTTCTAGTAGATGTATATACCCGGTTTGACCCTCCAGAAGACTACTGTAACATATACCCGGACCGATGATTTTCCGATGGTTTCTTTTACCATAGATGATGAATTCCGGAGGGTTCATCCCATAAAACCTTCCCGTTGTGATCACCAGTGATCGAAAACATAGAATTTCCCTAGTTTTTTTAGTTGCCCTGCTTATCCTTGGCTATCACTGATACTCAAGCCATCACATGAACATTGCTCTTGTTACAAGACTCTTGTTGACAGATCCTCATCCTCCCAGAAACCTTGAACAAAAACGTCAGGCCTCCACCGCAAGAGACTGTGCACTCTGTCCAAGCGCTCCAATTGCCCCAGGCGCAATCTAGCACCTGGCAAGGTGGAAGAGATGATAGACTCAAATGATCTCAAATGGCATATGGAACCACGAGTCATCCAAATTCATGGCAATCCAAAGATAGTGGATCTGGTGGATATTTAAAAAAAATCCCTATGAACATGGATTGATGACCATCTATCCCTATCCCTATTAAGAAAAAAAAGTCTGCTTTCAAATTGGACCCCTACTTTCAAAACTACAAATCAGGCATCTCATTCATGATAATCTAAAGGACCACATATTTGGTCTTCTGCAAAAAGATGCAACATGGTGCATGTTCCAAAGGGAAGGTCCCAACGACCTAGGTCATGATGCTTATTGCTATTTGTAATCCCCAAAATGGGATGAAACATGTGTCATACTACAAACACCACTGGCTGTTTTCTCGACCCAACTAGATCCTAGATCCATTCATACCATTCATGCTTCTTATTTCCAAGCTATCATATTTTTCAACATGAATGAAGGATATCTCCACCACTCTACCACCTCTACCACCACAGCTTCCCTGTCCCCCAGAAACCCCATCGGCCCGATCGGCCCGATCGCCTGCTGCGCTTTCACCACGCAAGCCTTGAGCTCGGTCGTGCTACCAGTGCACGCCTGGCTGCAGATCAGCCCAGAACTTGCAGAAAAAAAACAGGGTGTCTCAAGAAGTTATATATTGGATTATATCCATACTATATTATATCAACTATAGTATATCAAAATAGTATTATATTCTATTCCAAAACAAACCGAAGAAACCTCTGGAAAAAACATTCCGTTCATCTGATTTTGGGTGGAACACATCTTCGTCCACGGAAGCGTTCCGTGCCCTTCTCCACCTCTCCGTCTCCAGTAGCTGCAACGAAGCTTCGCGTGCGTTTGGCTTGTCCAGCACCATGCTGATGAGAGCATTCGCCCCAGGCGGTCCATTGGTTCCACTCACAGTTCCTGAGATCTTCAGCTGGAGAATATTGGAAGTGATACAATCAAGAGCCTCTGGCAATCAAAGATGGGAAATTCTTGGGACATTTATGCAAAAATCTGGGTTTTCCACTGCCATTCTCAATTAGAAAATTCTCAAAAATGGGGGGGATAAACGAGATTCAAACCAACACTTCATAGGTCTCAAGAAATGCAGACTCTCCCAACTGCAGTGCTGTCCCCAATTTTGTGCGGGTTTTGCCATTGATGTTCATGCACTTGCCTTCCTATATCTCCCTACATATCGTAATCTCTCACACTCTTCTTGGTCGTATCCGCGCGATTCGTGGATTGCAAAACCCCACAGGAGAGCCAAATTGGTTGAACAAAGAAAAAAACCATTTTCCCCAAGCGTGTACCTGTAACAGGTTGGTGGGTTACCATGAGTTTAAGATAGTTTTTTTCGTTACTTCCCCAATAAATATCTCCTTTTATCCTCATGGTTGGTGCCTGGTGTGTCCACCAAGAGGCTTCGTCTGTCCATTGCATGGCTGTGTATTGCAGGCCTTGGCCTCCTTGGAAGTCAACTGCAGATCACCAGTGGGGCTAGGATCATCTATATATAATATGATATTGTGAATAAATTGATGTATGAATATCATATATGGTATTATGTCGATGTATATTGAATAAATTGGTCTTATCCATACATCAATTTATTCATTCTGCGAATATTCTGCGACATGCTGGTTGTTGATTCTCATTGATGTAACACTCAGTGAAATCCATGCGATATTCTATTGAAGCTTCTCACTCATCCCAATGTCTAAGTTTTTCTGGAGGTCATGGTTGTGATGTTTCTCTGAGGTTTAGAGGAAGCCAGCTACAATCAACACAGTTAGAATTACCATCTGGTTATTTAACCTAGCCATGGAAAATCACCATTTTTAAGAACGGTAAACCCTCTATTTCTATGGGCCATCTATACCATGGCAAACTGTTAGTCATAACCAGAGGGTAAATATCCAGCTTTCAGATTAGTTCTCATTATCTGAACCACCCCTGGGTCCCGCTGGTACCCTTTTTGTGCACCTGTAACGACTGCACCGGGCATTGCCCGCCGTTGAAGTTGTAATGCACGATGCGTCGATGGCGCAGCTGCTGACCGCCATGGCAAGTCTTGTCGCAGGAAGACCAACTGGACCACCTGGGGACATTTCCACCGGTGAATCTGTTGGAAGACCGGAAGAATGACTTTTTGGGGTGTAGCTATGACAGCTATGATGACAAACTGCTGCTAAACCTAGGGAATGCGGGAATGATCCAGGATAACTTAACTATGATAACTATTAACAATCATCTAGGTATGATCATTTCGAGGTTTCCGAATCGCCATGGTTTCCTAAAACCGGAAATGATCTACACAAAAAAATGGTGGCTTTTCCACATCAATGGCACGTTTACCGGAGGGTATGTGTAGGCTTCCCAAAAATGGGGATACCCCATTTTTTCATCCAAGGATGACCGTTTTCGTATTGAAATCCATGATAACTTGGGGATCCCCCATGGGAAGAAATCCCAGGAAATCCGTAGGGGAAATGTTCGAAAACCTGAAGAACAATTGGGATTTACCTATGATGTGGTTGGGAAACTCTGAGTAGCAATTTGGGTTTCACATTTAACTGGAAATATGAATACCCCTAGTTTGAACTGCTTCCACTGGATAGTTACTGATTGCAAAAAAAAACTAGGGGTATATCAACAATATTATCACAAGTGTACACAAGACGAAGGGGGGAAAGATTTGGATTTCGTTTTCACCAGATTAACCAGATCACTATGAAATGTTGGTCCAGACCACCTTGGGAGGCGGCCGGTGGCCAGTCAGGTCACGATTTTCCCAGTGTAGCTGCGGTTGTGGTGTGAGATTATTGGAGTGAACCTTTGCACGCAAGTCAATGATATGACGTTTAACACAAGTTGGCGAGACACCCTCTGGCAAACATGGTTTACTGGAAAATCCAATTTTGTAATAGATTTTCCCAGCTAGAAAAGCTCCATTTTGTTGATTTCCCAGTTTGCCATGTTTGACATCGGAGGGTATTTGGAATTTGGGGACCTTATAACCTTTTACTCACAGCAATCAAATCAGACAAGCCACTCTGACGTGATGCAATCCTCTCCGGCCTTAGAATTGGAAACGGGGCCACATATATCACAATTCCTTTTGGGTTTCGGCGTGTCAAACCGATTATTAAATCATATGAAACCCATTTCAGTTATATATATATACATACATATATATAACTATATATATATAACTATATATATATTATGAAATTTGTTGGATACCAACATGAATTCCTCCAAATTCAAACACTGACCTATTGCTATCCGTACACTCAGTGTCCAGGGATCCCAACCAGTGGTGCACATCTTCCAGCCTGTCGGTCTCCGTTTCTCCGGAATGCAATTCATGACGTCTTGACGAAGGTGTCTCCAAATTCTGGTAATTCCCATACAAGATGACTGTATCAACATATATTGATATGGTTTTGTTTGTGATCGAAAATGGTTTTGCCATTTGCCAGTGCTGTAAAGATCTTCGAAAACGCGTTTTCCAAATTCCCTGTTTCTCCCTTTTTAATGAGTGTCATAGTTCCACGCGGATGGGGGATTTGATCCCTTATTGAAGATCTACAATGTCAATTGGGGCAGTTTGGAGTTTGGGCGAACGGGCCCCTACAGAACCTAAATATACTTGGTAATCAGTCTTTGTTCATCCCATATATCCAATATATATATATGTACTAGGTTTAATCCATCTCCAGATATAATACATGTCATATACCAGTAGTACCGCACAAGGCGGTGCACAAGGTAGTGGCGGAAGTTTCAAAGATACGAAACTATAGGAGAGGTGAGTTGTTGTGATGCATGGATGGCAGAGCGAATTCACTGATGGACCGAAAGGCGGCTGTGATTTTTGGAGTGGTTGCAGTGGTCACCTCACCCACAACTACAAGATGTAGTGTGGTTTAGCGAAGTGCAATGTAATTGTAGTTGTAGCTGTAGTTATAGTGGAGTTGATGTTGTTGAAGTTGTAATGTAATGTTGTAGTTGTAGTTGTAGTTCTAGTTCTAGTTGTAGTTGTAGTTGAAGTGTAGTTGAAGTTGTAATTGTCTTAGTTGTAGTAATTGTAGTACTTGCAATAGTTGTAGAAGTTGTAAGTGTAGTTGTAGTCGTAGTGTAGTTGTAGCTGTAGTGTCGTTGTAGTTGTAGTTGTAGTTCAAGTGTAGCTGTAGTGTAGTTGAAGATGTAGTTGCAGTTGTAGTTGTAGTTGCAGCCGTAGTTGCAGTTGCAGTTGTAGCATAGTTGTAGTAGTTGTTGCAGCTGTAGCTGTAGTTGTAGTGGCAATTGTAGTTGTAGCTGTAGTTGTAGTGTTGTGTAATTTTAGTTGAAGTTATAGTTGTAGTTGAAATGTAGTTGAAGTTGTAGTTGTGGTTGTAGCTGCAGTTCTTGTAGTTGAAGTGTGGTTGTAGTTGTAGTTGTAGTGGTAGTGTACTTGTAGTTGAAGTTGTAGTCATAGTGTGGTGTAGTGCAGTTGCCGTTGTCTATCTATCTGTCTATCTATACATCTGTTTATCTATCTGTCCATCTGTTTATCTCTCTATCTGTCTGCCTGTCTATCTGTCTATCTAACTATCTATCTACCTATCTATCTGTCCATCTGCAAGCTTGAAAACGAAGCAATTCTGCGAGACCTCCTCACTTTTTGAAGTTGGCAACATCAAAAACAAAGCAATTCTGCGAGGCTTCCTTCAATAATAGAAAGTTGAGTGCAGAGCTGACGGCCTCGTACCAATGCGTTTTGCGATTTTTCCAGTCCATGTCTCTGAAGCATTGCGCCTGCCACGAAAAAGTGATGCCCGGTCATACAAAGTGCTGCACCCGTCACACTAAATCATCTTCCCCAAACTGAAGATCTGATGCTCCAAAATGCAAACCCTCTCAGGAAAACAGCGCCCTGATCTCCTAACACATCTAACTCATGTGTCTCTTGTACTGCGCCGGCCACTGTCCACATCCTCTTCAAATGTCCCACGCCTGCCATCGTTTTTGAAACTGCTACAAAACCCTCATGTTTTGCTCACTGATGACAAGGTGCACAATCCCTTGTGCCTACCACGCGAAAGTGCTCCGTATCCCTCATTTTTTTGCACTTTTGACTTCGAAATGTGCTTTGCGCCACAACGGCATGCACTTTTTCGACATGTCAGCTTCCAAAAGTGCTCCGAGAGCGTCAGTTTTTAACACTTTTGACTTGGAAATGTGCTTCGCGCCACAACAGCGTACACTTTTTCGACATGTCAACTTCCGAAAGTGGTCCGAACATGGTGTGCTTTGTACATTTTGACTCGGAAGCGTGCTTCCCGCCACAACGGCGTGCACTTTTTCAACATTTCAACTTCCAAGAGTGCTCCGACATTGGTGTGCTTTGTACATTTTGACTTCGAAATGCGCTTCGCGCCACAACTGCGTGCAATTGTTCATCTCTCATCTGGCCAGATTGCTCCGCACCCGCCACTTTAGCGAGCCTACTTTTCGACCACAAATCATTGGAAAAACACAGTGTTTCGCGACTTTCCTACCTTTTCGCGCACCTGGAATCATCTTTCTTCTGACTGTCTCTTCTTTGATCTTCTTTCTTTTTCTCTTCTCTTCTCTTCTCTGACTCTTCCCATCTCTGCTTTTCATCTGTCCATATTCTCGGAAGTTTGACTTCTAAATTTCCTTCGATAAATAAATAAATAAATATACAAATATATATATATATACATATATACGTATAAAAATGAACATGTATATATATATATGCCCATAGGGGATGGTTTTTTGCGGCCAAAAACTGACCAGCCTCAACTAAGGAGATATTGCAGGCCATTCCAACTCCCTCAGGGGGAGTCAGCACTTCACGTCTCCTGGCACCGCTGGGAGGGTTGCGAAATCCTGCACCACCTTGGATGAAAACCCAACAAAAATCATGGGATAAATGGGATAGACCACCTATCAACTCGTGCAGGATTTCCGAAATTTGAGAGATCTTGTGGGGACTTAAAGTTTTAAAGGGCTCAAAACGTCTCTGAAACATGGAATTATCTCATCAAACTTCATCAACATCATAATTCAGAATTTCTCTTGATGTCCTGCATTTTTTGCTGTTGAAACTTTAAAAAAAAGTTCCACCAAAAAAATGGGTGAAACCCCCCCTGACCTGGTCTTTTGAAGTGAGCTGCGGGTGCATGGCGACCAGGCAGACCATTGACCTTGAGAAAAAACGTGGGGAAAAATTGCGGGATTTTCCCATGTTGGTTGTTCTGGGCTTTTTTTTTGCCGGTTGAATTCTCCAATTTTTTGGGGAATCCATGACATCCTTGTGGATTTGGGGATCATTGGATTGATTTAGTGGTGGAAATCGACAGGATGTTTCCACGGTTTTTACCCGCAAATATTAAAAAAAACGTGTCCTTGAATTTTCTCCTTGAAGTAGTTCTTGATTGGTTGGACCATCTAGTTCATGGCTCCCATGTTTCCCCCTGATAGCCACATATATATATAATATTTCTGAAAACCAACAGAAACCACTGCCTGTTCAAGATCACATGTTCCAAACCCTTGTGCTTCCGCAGCAAAGGGCAAAGGCTCGAGGTGAGCCTGTGGCGGGAGGGATCTTTGCCTTGAGCGCCATATTGGAAAAGGGTGCGGCACTCCTGTGGTCTGGAGGAAACTATTTGGTTTGGAAGATCAGGGATCTACAACATATCCATTTTCATTGATCAGGGATCATTCTTTTGGAGGTGAAGGAGATCAGGCGATCTCTGGTTGGGCTGCTACCAATCTTTCGAGATTGGTAGCGGAGCCCGGTTCGAAGGGCGCTACCAGGGACCAATCAAAGGTTTCGACTCTGGGTACAATTACCGCTGGAAGGGATGAGTGAAGCTTCTGGAGGTGAAACTACAGGGATAGTTCCCAAAGAACTAGCCAGTTTGGTGCCAAGTTTTGACCCTGCAACGGATAATGTGGACATCTGGACAAGAAAAGTTGAATTATTACTTGCAACATGGCCGACCACCAAGCTGAATGAATTGGCTACGAGGTTAATATTGGGCTGTAAGGGAACGGCTTATCAGAAACTTCAGCTACTTCGCAAGGAGGTGATGACCAATGATGAGAAAGGTATTCAACGGCTTGTTGAGATTGTGGGTGGAACATGGGGTCAAATCCCATTGGAGAAACGATTTGAACTGGCAGAAAGAGCTTTGTATAGATGCACACAGAAAGCTGATGAAACATCGGATTCATACCTATCAAGATGCGATGTGGTTTGGACTGAATTGTTAGCCCGTCAAATGACTTTGGCTGAACTTCAAGCTTATGTGATCTTGCGTGGAAGCAAACTGCTGCCTGAAGACAAGAAACGTGTGATTGTTGAGACAAAGGAATCCAAAGACAGTGAGCTGACGATGAAAAGTGTGACATCAGCAATTCGACTTTTGGGTTCTGGTTTCTTTCAGGACTACACTGGACTGAAAAGGGATAAGAATGCCAAGACATACTATCACATGGCCTATCACATGGATGATGACAATGAAGGTGAACATGAAACCTTTTTGGCTCATGAGGAACTCCTGGAAGATGATGTCCTGGAGGCTCTTGCGGCTGAAAATGACGAAGATGCGATTCTAGTCATGCAATTTGAGGACTCGATTTCTGAGACAGTTCAAGCTGATGCCGAACTTTCGGCATACTACTCGTCCTATCAGGACGCCAGGCGGCGATTGAGCGAAAGAGTGAAGGTTCGAGGATTCTGGCCAGTGTCCCGACGCTTTGACAAAGGTCAGGGTAAGAAAGGGAAAGGTAAAGGCAAAGGAAAATTTTCGTTTTCAGGTCCAGGATCCCTTGCTAAGCGAATTGCAAACTCCTTCTGCCGAATCTGCATGCAAAAGGGGCATTGGAAAAACGAGTGCCCGCAGAAGTCCAATGCCAGTAGCAGCCAGCCTTCTAACAATGCCAGTGCCAGTGTCGCCCCGACGTCTTTCGTTGTGACGGAAGACGATGTGCCTGATGAGATCGCGCAGTTTGCCGTTGTTGATGTCCAGGACCATTCCTCCGAAAGTGCATGTTTTCATGTGGGGGTAGATAATGTAAGATGGGGATTAATAAACAGGGGCAAGATAACTGGGGAATGCAATAAGTTTGCCAAAGCCTTCCACACCCGGTGGAAACACACCCTGAGGACGATGAAACCATCTGAGAAATGCCGCCGTGCTGTGCCGATGCCAAAGCAACAGCCTTTGGTGCCTAATCCAATAGATGCCCAGATCTTGCCTGAAGCAACTTGCGATGCCTATTTCGCCACAACCGGAGCCACAGGGATTGTTGATCTAGGTGCGTCTCAAACTGTGGTAGGAGAACACCAAGTGAAAGAGTTGTTGTCAAGCCTTCCAGAAGAGATCCAACACCAGGTCCAGAGGACAAGTTGTCATCTTACGTTCCGGTTTGGCAATCAACAGACTCTCACCAGCCGTCATGCACTTTTGCTGCCACTTGGAAGGGTGAAGTTTCGAATAGCGATTGTTCCAGGAAAGACCCCATTCTTGTTGTCAAGTTCATTTCTCAAGGGAATCAAAGCAGTGATTGATACCGAAAAGGGAACCCTTTGGAGTCGAACTTTGAACAAAGAACTTCAAATTCATCAATCCAACAAGAATCTTTTTCTCATGGACATATGTCAGCTGTGGCAAAACCCTGAAGATGAGCAGCAGGTACAGAGATCCGACCAGACCGGATTCACCTGCCAACCGGTGTCAGACAAAAACACAGTCAGCAGTTTGTCACAGAGGGTCGCAGTTGATACTCAATCCCCAAAGATGGAAGCAGAATCTGAAACCCTAAACAGTGATGTAGCCACAGATGTCTCTCAGGTGTCGCATGAGGATCACCTCAAAGCCTTACCGCAGCCTGACAAGTTGAACCGTAGTCGCGTGTCTCCCACACCGTCCCATCAGTGCCGAGTCACTCAACATGTCGGACATGCCTGTGAGTCAGAAGTTGCAGCGGTTTCGCAAGAACCAGCACCAAGAGGAAGCAGCCGACACTGTGGTGAAAATTCGCATGATGCCCCTCGAAGTGTTGTCCAAGGAAAAGATTGCATTCGGCAAAGCCAAGAACGGCCAATTGTTTCCGGAGGTCTTCAAGGACGCAGCCTGGACCGATTGGTTCATCCGAACCTACGAGAAGAGCACCAAGCCGGAACACCAGCTGTATGTGCAATACGTGACCAAGCGACTGGACATGGAGATCAAAGCCGAGCACAAAAAGGGGTATCCCAAGGAATTACGAGTCTTCCTGGAGGATCCGAAAGACCAAGCTCCAGCAGATTCCGAAGTGTGGGATCAGGTGTCAGAGCCGGGAGTCTTCACAGACTTCGACATGCCGGGGATCAACAAGGTCCAACAGATGGAAGAACAAGTGGCCAACCTGAACATCGAGAACAAGAATCTGGCATCCCGGATGGCGGGAGTGGAGATGGCCTTGCAGGAGGTTCTTCAACATCTGAAGGGGCTGAATGTCAAGAGCGAGCCATAGCCGGATCAATTCCCATCAACGTGAGCACTGATGAAGGCATGCCTGACTTAGACTATGAGTTTATGTCTCCAAATATTTCCAACAGTTTTCAAGCACAGATCAGCCGAAATGTGAAGAAGTTTTTGCTTGAACTCCAAAGTGTGGAACAATGCCTGTTGAACAGTGATCACCGCAAGTTGCCTCGCTTAGATCTTCTCGAAGTGATGTGCTCAGAACAATCTGAACTCACCAGACAGGTTCAAGGACTAGGAGGCAAAGCTCAACGTTTTGGGAGAGTTCAAGGTGATCTTAGCACGACAGAAGGAAGGAAACGTTTGTTCAACATCCTGGTTACTCGGAAACCCAAACATGTATGGATAAGTCCTGAATGTGGTCCATGGTGCCAGTGGAGTTTTTTCAACATGAATCGGTCTCTAGAATGTTGGGAAAAAGTCATGGAACAGCGAACTGAGAAATTATGGCAAATTGCTCTTTCCATCGTGCTTTTCCGATATCAACGCCACCACCGAAATCACTTTGATCTCGAACAACCGAGAGGTTCAGCCCTGATGAAAACGCCTGGAATGTCAGAAATCCGAGAGCACACACTGTGGAATGAGTTTGATATGTGCAGGGTAGGAAACCTGAAGACACCTGACTCTCAGGAACACCTCCGTAAGCGAATGGCAGTTTGCTCCACTTCCGTGGACTTGCACATGGCCCTGCATGGAAAGTTATGTCAAGGAGACCACCATCACAGACCAATTGCCGGACAAACCAGAGTTCAAGGAAAATCCATGCCGTTATCACAGTGGACGGAATTGTACCCCCAAAAGTTTGCCAAACAGGTAGCCAAAATCATGTTGCATGACCAGGGTCAGTTATGCCCATCTTTTGCCGCTGATGCCGATGATCACCCAACGAAGAAACGCAGGCTGGGTCAAAAGATGAGTCCGCAGGAGATCGCAACTCGATTTTCTAACTCAAGTGACATCAATTGGCAGACAGCAATGCAGCTTGCCGATCGCTCAGCACCACGAGTTGGCACACTGGTTGTACAGCAAGGTGAAGTCATTGACATGATCAAGACCATTTGTCCCCAACATGACATCAAACATGTGGTTCTTTGCAGAGGTACAGATAGGTATGTTGGTCCCAATGTTCATATTCCAAGAGGTTTTGCACCACTCCGCCGTCAAGTTTGCATTCAAAGGAAGACCGAAGTTGTCCATGCTGACGAATGGGAACCATGGGAACACCTATCCAATCGGGGATTAAGAAAGAAGGGAATTTCTGCAAGGGTAAGCATGACCATTTTTGCAGCCGCCAAAACCACCAGTATGCCGTCGCAAGATGCTGCCTCAGTTCCCGCCGTTGCCGATGCCACCAATCATGCCGCGTTGAGAAGGCTACTGGAATCCCGAAGTGCGGGCGATGAGGAACCACATCCAAAACGTCCGTGCATGAATTCGAGAGAGAGAGAGAGTGCTCCTGAGTCCCATGCAAATGCCAATACCTTACCCGTAACCCCATCCAGTAATCATCACCACCTCAACATCCATAACCAGAATAACCCGCCAATCAGCATCCCCAATAATCCAGACACCGACAATACACAAGCACTTGCCGGAGAACCCAACAAAACATCCGAAACAGGATCTGAACTCAGTGAAGTTCCACGTCATGTGATTGACTTGGC